AAGTGAGAGAAATTACTGAAAAATTTCAATCGTTTTGGGCTTAAAAATTGGAAACAAATAGCATCTCCCTAAAGTTGTTGAAGATACATTTTGAAAAGTGTTATCTGCAAAGTTGTCTCCCATTTTATGGTCTCACACTCACATTTATGCACTACTGCTCTTCTCTATCTCTTTCAATCTCTATATATATATGTCTCCTCGTCTCTGTTTTATCATTGCTGAATCTAATAGTATCTTTTTACTACCCACGCCAAATGTATATATTTACTTAGGTAATAGCATAATTAAGTGTTTTTTAATAATTTTTATATAGATTAAAAAATTATTTCAATAAATTATATTTATATATAATTTATTAAAATAAATTAAAAATGAAAATTTTATAAGGGTCATAAATAATTTTTATAATTTGTTAATAAATTCTTCCAAAAAATTTTAAGCTGAGTTTCGTTAGATAATATTTTTTCCGTTTATTTAAGGAAAACGATCATATGATAAAACAATTTATTACCTATCTACTTTTCCTTTTGGTAATATATTTTTTAAACATATTTTTTAACATGTTTTTATAATTAATTAATTTTAAAAAATAAATATATGACACACATGTCTTAAGCTTTAAAAAAATAATTATAAAGTATGTAAAAAATGTGTTTAAAAAAAGGATATTAGTAATATTATTCGTATTAATTATACGACACAAAGGGACATTTGCCGTTCATAGTCAGGATTTTTGTTATTAATATAATTTTATTTAATAATAATTAAACTATTAATACAGATATTATAGATATATTATTAATATAATATATATTTTTAACATTTAAAATATAAATAACATAGATTATTTTTTATATTAATAAAAGTATCTATCAGTGTAATATATTATTAGTGTAAATCTATAGTATTTATACCAAAAATTTTGGGTAATATATAACCCATACGAGTTAAAACATGATGTACCGTGCACAAATAGATTTTTTTTGTTTCTATTACACAAACAGATTTTTATCCTTATATACATTAATATTTTAATGAATAAATGAATGAGTAACTTTTAATTATAATAATTTATGTAAATTACAACTTCATCCTTCCTTCTTCCACGTAGCAAAGCCATCCAATCAATCAAGGCTACCTTGATAGTACCCCCAAGTTGTGATTTTTTTTTTTTTACCTCAGTACTATTAGTTTACATAAAACTTCAAAATATGTATAATTTTTATGCAAACCACAATCATAATTGCTAAAAGAAATATTCAACTCAACTTGCATATGTTGAATTGCAATCCCAACCGTCAACTTCAACTAGGTCTTGTTTGTGATTGAAATATCATCTTGCATACAAAGTGATTCTTTTGTTGTTACACAGAATGGTAGGAAGGGAGTGGAAAAGCAAGTTGAATATGAATTATTAAGGTTATATATATATATATATATATATATATATATAAGGATATGATTTTCTTATATCAATATAAATTTAAAAATTCTTATATTTAATATTTTATTTAATTTATATTTAACGGATTATAAATTTAAAAACTTTTACATTTAATTTGAATTTTTATTTAATTTATATATAATAGATTATAATTTATTATTTCATTAATTTTTAGATATAAATTAAATAAAAGATTTTAGACAGAGTACAATAATTTTTAAATTTACATCATGAAAAGATTCTTAAATATTAGATGTCATTACATATACATATATAATTTATTTAAGTGCTAAGTGAGCTCAGCTTGTTACTAGTCCTAACTTTAACCCACATTATATTAGGATTACATGCTCAGTTGTCGTTTGTTGGGAAATAAATCCTTTATTCACATTTCAAAGACAATTTTTCTTGCAATGTAGCCACTATGAAGAGACTAAATTCCCTTCGAAAAAACATGATTGGGGTGATACCCGCACGCGGCAGAAGCCAACTACACTTTTAGGACGTCTACAAATCCAATGAAACATGAGTCATAAAAAGACTATGATAAGAACAGGAAAAAAAAATGAGTAGGATATATTTCTATTTTATTAGTGTTTGATGTGTATCATGTCACCATATTATCAAACAATATAATGATATAAATTGCATATAAAGAATAAAATTATCTTTACAAAAAATTAATAATAAGCATAATTACTGATACATATGAGATTAACTATTTTTAAATTAATTGAGTTCAACTAATTAATTTTTAATCAAACTTGTTTATTTTAATAAGCTAATAAACGTAAGCTTAGTTTTAAGTTCCGTTTTATAAATGAACTGCATATTATAAATTTGAGATTAAAAACTTGCATATATATAAAGATTAAAAAAATTACTTATTTTTTATTTGTAACTTATCTTCTACATAAGCATACCAATTAAATACTAAATTTATAAACCTAAAAGTACTTTAGAAATAGATTGTTAAATGAAAAGAAAATTACGTTATAAATAAATTAAATTATCAGGTTAAATTTTATTTAATAAATAAATATTAATCTTTAATTATAATTTATTTAAATAAATTTGTTGAGTTTAAAATTTACTGTTGAATAAATTAAATTTAAACTTAAAATATTCAATATAACTAGTTGAACACATTTTATATACCTATTTATGGTTATTATATTGATAATAATAATATCAACAACTGTGGGAAGGATAATAACAACAGCTACAATAGCAATGGTTTGACAGCGGAAATGACGAATGGCGCAACATGGGAAGCGGCGCCCATGGGTGTTTTCATTATAGCAGACACTACCATTTATAAGAATCTTCATGTGATATCTTTCACTCATGTAAGTTGAAGAATATATATATATATATATATATATATATATATATATATATAACTGGACATGACATAAATAAAAACAATCCAAAGTTATTATACAATGCTAGCTTGCTGTAAGTGTCAAGTAACACTTTACAGACCATTAAATAAATAAAAAGTTTACTTAACTTCAGCCCTAGGCTGAGTTTAAGTATTAACAGATAAATAATATATATATATATATATTAAAGTTATAAAAGTATAATAAATTTTTTAAAATAAATTCAAAGTAATCTAACAGCTGTAAAACTTGGCCATATACAGAATAAAAGAACCAAATATTTCCTAGCAGGAATGTAGGGGGGGAAAGTTTATCGACAGACCCACATAACTCATGATTTCTAGGTATAAAGTTCAAAAGTGTAATAAATAATACTCCAAAAGCAGGGTTACGACTAGAAGCAATTTGTGTGAGCGAAACAAATAGGTGGTGATAATGAGGAGCCAAAACAGTGTATATATGTGCTGAATTCCATGCAGCAATTATGAATCTTGGATCAATTTCAATGTCTTCCAAAATCTAATGATGGTGGAGTGAAGCATCAGATATACGAGGGTCCCATTCTGTCTAAAACCTTTTGTTCCATCGCACCTTATAAGTTTCATTCTTTCATTCATCTCCTCGGTGGGTTTTAAAGACCTTTCTAAGGAATGTTCTTGCAACTGGTGAGACTTGGTAATCTTTACCAACTTTGCTACGTCTCTAAATCGTCACATAATTGTATTATTTAAATCAATTCATGTGTTGGCATATAACTACTGTTCTATTTCTTTTTTTCAAAGATTATCAAACATCCACCATATCAAATGTTTAATTAATGCGAAATGAATATGTAGCACTACTAGAAATTTGATGTTCTTAGATTTTTTTTTAAAAAAAGTTGTTTAAAATGATACTATAATTTGACATCATGATAGTATACAAAATAAAAAATTATCTCAAATGTAATTAAAATTTTCGTGCCACCGTAATGACAAAACAATTCGGACACGGATAAATTAAAATTTTATTGTGTTATATTTCATTTTTTATTTAAATTTATATGTAGTTTCAAATAAAATTTAGATAAATTATATAATCTCTTTAAATTTATTTATTTTTTATATCTAAATTTGTCATAATCCATCTCAAATTTTAGACGAGTTTTAAATAAATCAAGATATAAAACAAACACACACATATTTGTTTTATATATTAATTTGTTCAAAATTTGTCTAAAATTTGAGAATAATTTTAGATGTATATACTTTGTTTCTTTTATATCTTAAAATCGTATTGTGTTTTTGTTATTTTTCTGCATTAAATCATTATAGTAAAAGTAAACATTCAAAACTTAAAATCTAAATAAATAACAAAATGACACATTCTTCGTACCCAGAACATGAGCCCAACCAAAGAAGAAACCCTATTCTTCCTAATTTTCTTTCACCTGTACTTGCAAAATACAACTAACCCTTTGAGACTCAAATAGAAACAAGAAAAAAATATAAAGAAAATATTTGCTAGTTGATTTTTTTAATTTATTTTGAAAAGAAGAAAAAGGAGAATATTTTATTGTACAAATTTCACTTGAAAATTTTAAACAACAAGAATAAACCACATAACTCAAGCACTTCTTAATGAGTGTAGAATTAACAGCCAACCCCTGTAAATTAAAGCAAAAACTTTTTGTTACTTTTAATTTAATGTGGCTGTGAAAACTTATATTATTAGTTATCACATAAATTAATCCTTTGCAATTTTTAAAATAAAGCTGATGTCATAGCACCGGAAATTTTTTTTGACATTTATAAACTATAAGACTTTAGAAAATGACCAATAAATTTAAATTTTTATTAGAGATTTAGGATAAATATTAAAAAAAACTTAGAATAGATATTCATTAAAGAAATTAAAATATACTACCTTTATCCTATTTATAAGAAAAAAAAAATCCAACATTTTTTTCAAAATATAAGAAATAAATACCCCACTTTTAAATGTATTAATTACTAAATTCTTTTTATACCCTTGTTTATTATAAGATTAGTGTTAATAAGGCACCCACCATTTATCTATGGAAAAAGGATGCATTCATTTATTTAATATATAATACATCAATTTAATTTTTTAATACTATAAATATTTTTAAAATAGAGTATAAAATTATAATATAATTATTTTTTATTGGTCAATATGAATTTAAGTATATATTTTTTATAATCAAAACTGAAAATAGTATATACAAAACAATAAAATTCAGCCGATGTGATGCATCTTGGGATATCAGGTCAAGCATGTTTGAAAAAGAAGATCATAAGAAGAAGCAGAGTTGAGGTGTGGTCTAATGTCCAAAGAAAGAGAGCAAACTTTCTTCGGCCTTTGAGGTTGTCATCGATGAAGTTACTCAGCTCAACCCATCTTTTGAGCAGGTCAATCATATTTCATTTGCAATGCTTGACAATTCTTTTGACTATCAGGTACCCTAATGGGTGTTTGATCCCTTAGAACCAGCATTTCTTTTATTACTTGAAATTTCCCATTGTTAGACGCATTGGCAATGTTTGTGATCTTGGGGGATTAATGGCTATTTGATAAAATTCCTAACTTGGAATTCATTGACCAAACTTCGAACTTCATTTACCACTTCATCACAATGGTTTGTCTAGAAATGTATACATGCTTCCCTGAAAAGCTGCAAACATTTGTGGTTTTTTTATTTGGGATTCAATGAGTTTAGAAGAAATAAATCGAGTTGGATTAGACAATTAACCATGCTTCTCCTTCGCGATCAACAAATTCAATGGTAGTAATCCATCGCATATATCCCCATAATCATTTTGGTATAGGAAAGATACCAAGTAACATTGGACATTGGACATAAGAGATGCTTTCCGAATCTGTAGGCCCATAAAAAAAACACCATCAATTAGCCCAAAAAAAAAAAAAACTCTCAATTAGCAAAAACAAGTATATTTATTTAAAATTAAAAAAAATAAACATGCACTTATTCTAATAAACAGTCAATGTATAAATAAAACCCTTGAAAAAAATACTTTCTATAAATAAAAACTTGAATTCCTACATGTGTGATTACAAACATATTTCACTCTAGTTTTAAAATTTATAATTCTGATTTACTTTAATTCCTTTGGTATTATATGTTTCATTAACATTAAGAACAAAAGTAAATGAAATTTTCATCTCCATAAAAGAAGCAAACAGAATAAAGATGAAAAAATTGAAGAAGAAAATGATGTAGCTGAAAAGACTAGTTCCACTTGGCATAGAACTTGGAATCAGCCCACATCAACATTCTGTTTAAGGGGATGATGACACCTCTTCGCTTCAAATGCAAATGTCTGGGCACAATCCTTTTCTCCAAACTGAACCCAAAGTACTGAGGAAACCTCTTCAACTCCTCCAATTCCCTCTTCATCTCCTTCACAAGATACGCAAACTTGGGCCATAGATTGTTCTCCACGTCATACCCAAAAATCGCTGGCAACCTCGCACAAACATTAATCGCCTCTTCGTGCGTGAATCCCACCTCCTCCAGGAACCTCACCTTCCCGTGCAGTTTCTCCACGCGCGTGTTCAACAGATGCGCGTTACGGTTCGTCGCCCGGTTCAGCTCTCCCACCCCAATCTATACAAATTTACATACGTAAATTTATGTATTACCAATTTATAACATGTTGAAGTAGAAGATAATAGTTTAAATATTCAATTTTTTATTAAAAAATATAGTATTTAATAATATTAATATAATGAATTTAATTCAATTTGGATTTTTCAATATATTATTATTAATTATTATTTTGTAAAACTTTGTATAAGTTAAAAAAATTATTATAAAAATAGAAAAATTTAATATTAATTCTTAAATACACTTCTTAAAACTATAAAACTGTGAGAGATTTTTTATTTTTTTTTTCATTTTTAACGGATCATCGAACTAAAATTTATTTCTTTTGATAAATTTTTATATACACGATACTTTATATTTTTATAAATTAATATAATTAATATGAATTATTTGTTAATTTTTAATATGTGACCATGGAAAAAAAGGCATATTAAGAAAGCTTTTGAAAAAAATGGGGAACCTGGCGGAGAAAGTGGAGCGTTGGGCGGAGGCAGAGGTCAACGTCGGAGAAGAGGAGTTTGGGGCAGCGGAGGATGAGGCCGTGGGATTGGGATGCGGTGGCGGGGAGTTCTGCGGCGAGGAAGCGGAAGACGGGGGCGATGTCGGCGGGGGCGACGGCGGAGGAGAAAAGCTGAGGGGTGAGAAAGTTGAGGCGAGGGATGTCGGTGTCGGAGAAGGAGTGAGATTTGAGGAAGGTGAGGGTGGCGAGGATGTGGTCGACGGTGTCGGGGAGAGGAAGGTCCTCGTGTTTGGTTTTTGGGTGGATTATGGTTAGGGCTCGAAGGTATCGGAGGTTTTCGTGGTACCTTGTTCGGAACTTTATGTAACCCTTTGTATTTGGGCCTCGGTAAGAGTTGTGTGAGTAACAAGATATAATTGGGAATTGCTGAGAGTAATGGAGGAGCATTTCTCTTTCGTGTTAGCTGCAAATGTGTGTCACAGGTTCTGCTCATTCAGATACAAGTCTAGTGATGATAAGAAACAAACCAAGATATTTCTCTTGTTTCTTTTTTTTGAACCAGATAATCCACTAATACTCCACTGGACTGGAGTTCTTTAACTATATCTAAAGCAGCGTATTTTAACCCATTTTAATTATTAGGTATAATTTATTAGAAATTACAAAAAGTATTATAAATCTTAATTTTAATTTAATAACTTTTACTTCTAATTTAATTATATCTTTCTATAATTTTAATCGGTGTGAATGTTAAGAGATCAGAATGCTGCAGCATGATGTTCTTTGGTGTGTCTAGCTGCTCCTTCTATGCCCAACACTAAATAAATTGAATTTTAAATAAATCTAGTGTGATTGACAATGTCGTCAGCAATTTTATTAGTAAACATTTAAATAAATTTTTATCGTTCAAAATATATTTGTAAATTATGTATTTTTTATTACTTACTAAAAATGAGTAAATCAATCATACTTTTAAACATTTTTATTTTATAAAAACAGAACAAAATACCAAAACAGACTTAATTTATAAATCTTGAAAATATAGAAATTATTATTATTTTCAAAAAATAAAAATTTTAAAAACTCAATAAGATAAACCCTAAATATCACTTTTCAATGTGATTTTTAAACTTTTAACTTCTTTAAAAAAACAAATTCAAACACATTGTTAATATTTTTATTTTGTGAAAACAAGTTAATTACAAAATACTATAACAACTTATTTTCTATATCATAAAAACATCAAAATAAAAACTATTTTCAGAAAATTAAAGAAAAATCTCAATAAACAACACCTAAATATCACCTTGAAAATATTTACAAAAATGGTTTTCTTGATCTTAATTGTTTTCCTTCCTTTAAATCAATTGTACATGTAACTATTAGATTTTTATGTGCTTTGAGCAAAGACATAACAAATGGTCTTGGATGTAACAACAATTGGCAAAGTTGTTGGTTTACTACTAATATCTCATTGCATCTTCCATTTCTTGAAGAGGGGTAACGCCGGTCATACTCGCAAGCCACCAATAGTTGATGGTGGTGGAACTTTGATCAGTCATTTTATCTCTTAGGTAGTTCTATAAAGCTTTCTCACATGATTTAAAGAGCTTTGGCTGATAAGTATCATCCAATATTTAACATCTAAATCGATGCGTACACAAATAAACAAAGAAGAGAAGAGATATCTGATTTTAGTAAATGAAATCTAATTTTACTAAATAGTTTCCAAATAATTTAAAAAAATAAAAAATAAAATGAATCTAAATATCCATTTTTGTTAAAAATATGAATTTTAGAACTAGTTTGGATTTGATTATGAATTAGACTTTTATATCTGAATTTTTTTCCAGCCCTAAATTAAACTGAACCCCAATTAAATAAGAACAAAAATTACTTAATTTGTTACATGTTCGTTTGTGTACCTGAACCAAAATAACATTTAAATTTTGATAACTAATCAATTTAGTTTGTTTAAAAATACATTCGAAATAATATAAATGTAGATCTAGCTTAAAAGTTACAATTAGTAGCGTTAAACTAAACATGAATTTACGCAAATCTAAATATGTTATCAATTACCATCCACCAAAAATTCAAAAGGTAGAAACCACAATTAAAAAAAAAAAAACGCTAGCGATATCTCAATTGGTTCTTGCTTTCCAATATAAATAATATATTAACATGAAATGATGCAATACAAACAACTAATTAGGTGAATAATTGCACAGGTCACATACTAGTTATATTTTATACGAATCATACGATGAACCTATTTCCCCAATAAATAGAAATGGATAATGTTGCATATCGCTGCTATTTGAAAACTGCTTCCATCACAACATAAGAAAATTCAACATATATATTGACCCCAATCCATTGTCATATTTATCATAAAATGTCTACTTTATTTGCAGGTAATAAGATCGCAATGACCCATTTGATATAAAAAAAAATCACAGCTACCAAAGTACAGATGATAAGCAATTTAAAAGAATGTATGAACTGCAGTGGCCACCTGCAAATTACAAAATAATTGCAATTCACACCAACCATTTTTTTGAAATAATAGTGCAACATTCTCACAGACCCCTGCCATATTGCAATAGAATAGATCAGCACAAACAGAACTATAGTCTATAGAAGCAAAATAAAAACTAATGTCTTCACATTTTCAATTTCAAAGATGATGACACCAACTTGAAACCACAGGAGCAACAAATCCTAGCAGATGACACAATACTAACAACCAAAATATGCCTTTACATTTCGTTGGAAATGAATTTGTCCAGGAGATATAAGATATAAGTTGAATGTTTCCCTTCAATTCTTAATTTTTTAAAATAACTAAATGTCATGTCAATTTAAAATTAGTTTTTTCAATAGTTTGGTAGAAGATGAGCCTTCACAGTTTGCAAGGTTTTTCATATAGGATACCACTAATTCCAAACTTAGAATTAACTAATGAAGAACTCAACAGACCCGAATTATTATCTTCAAGGTCACAGAAGACTAGAGCAAAACATTCACATATCATTAGGCTCAAGAGAGTAGGCTATATAGAAAATGATCCTACAAACAAGCACATCTTTGTGATCTTGATTCTATTTTCTTTCTCAAATTCCTAAAATACTAAGATATCCTTTGACAAATAACTAGATTGAAGGGTGAACAATCTTAGACTTACACAGAATTTTATTGTCAACAATTAATAGCAAGGGAAATATCATTAGCACTGGCAGTGGCAAACATAACATTGTCAGTTAAAATAATTCAAACCACCGAAGGATATTTTAGGGAATTTAGCAAACGTCATATATCAAAAGTATTACTGGTAAAAAAATGTGATGCAGAGTCAAGGTGCATATTTTGCTATGTCCTAAGGGAGATAATTTGGTCTTTGATATAAGTGCTAATTACCTGATTTTTTTTATCATAATGGCCTTAAGTTTCTTAGCAAGGTCCTCAGACCGAATCTTCCGCTCCAAGTTCTTTCGGGCTAAAACACGCTTCTCAGAGTTTTTTATATGGAATCTCTGCTCTTGCTTTATCATCCTCTCAATCCCACTTGATTGCATCTTACGCTGCATCAATGCCAATGCTCCTTCCACATTCCCATTTATGACCCGCACTCGTATACCTCTGCATTGCTGAAGCTGCTGCATTTGATGACGCCCAGTATTGAAGGGTTCAGCTGTGAAACCTGACCATCTGAATAAGCTTGATAAATGCCTTGCAACTGAGTTCATATCTTGGGCCAATGAACGTTTTACTTCTACTTTTTCCTTTCCTGAGAACTAGAAAAAAGCAAAAAAGAAATCAAGTTTCAAAAACACAAATGAAACATTGATGCATAGCATGTTGTAGAACTGCTTCATGCAGGATAAAGGAGCTTCAGTATATTTTCAATAACTTCATTGGCACTTCCACAGGAATTATTTTGGGGAGATTTGGTAAGTTGTTTAGGTAATAAAATTTTACGGGTAAGTGATTTCATTTGTTAGTTTGTTATATACCAAAGGTACAGAATATCCATGTATTATTTCCACAGGAATATGCTTCATGCACATTTCCGGAACAACTCAAACTTTGCTATATGACTCGGACCACCCATCAAACAGTTGGTAGGCAAAATTAGAATATACTGAAAAATAAAACGTTCCATAAAATGAAGCATCATGGGCAATCGTAACGACAATTATACAAGAGGATATAATTCATATCATACCAGGAAATTTAAAATAGAGAATTTTTTTTTTGTTCTAAACATAATGCCCAAACAAATTAAAATATTTCACTTACTAATCCAAAGCCTCTTTTTAAAATGTCATATCCACAAATGGACAGGAAGCAAATAATAAAATTGAAGATAACGAATGTGGTTAGAAATTGAAGGGTTACCTGTTCGGAGTGGGGCAAAATGGTGAGTCCGATGTGGTAGTATTGAGTGACTGTGATATGGAGAATGTACTCCGTAGTATGCACGATCTATATTGCTGGGGTTTTAGTAAATTCTAATTTATAATTAACTAAAAAGCCCAAAACTTTATTAAGAGTTTTTGGTTTATGAATGAATAAATAAATAAATGAAATTATTAAAAAATGTTCAAAATTATAATAAAATATATTAATAGTATTTTTTTTAAAAAATAATATGGTTATTCTGATGTGTCTCATTAACCATTAAAACTTTACTAACAAGTGCATTAAAAATATTAATTAAAAAATAAATAACTAAAATACATTAGTTTAACTTGAACACTGTGATAAGAGAAAGTACAAAATTAACTAAAAGGTATCTGTGGATTAAATCAGATTAAACTTAGAGAGAATAATCATTCATATAATCTTATCAATTTTTTTAATTTGTGTTATAATAAAAATGAAAAAAATAATAAAAAAATAAAAATATTTAAAAATTAACGTGATTTAATCAACGTAACCTATATATACTAATAAATTGAAAATTTTATATTTATTCTAAGCTGCTAATTTTTGTCGCATAAAAAAATATATTTTTCAATTTTTAAAATTTATATACATAAAAACTCATAATTTATTATAATTTATTATAATAACATAATTTATATATTTTTATAACTCATTAAAACAATAACAATTAATATTGAAGAAACATTAAACATTAGAAAGAGGTCAAGTACAAATTCAAGATATATCAATAATTTGTTTAATTTTAAATTTATATATGATCATGCAATTTGATTTAATTTGATTTTTTAGAATATAATAAACAAACTTTAAAATATGCAATAAATACTACTTCTATAACTATTCTTATTTATTTGGCCTTTTTATTTTATTTTTAACCATTACCCTTTTCCTTTGTTTGAGAATTTAAGAGTAAGTAAAAACATATAATGTCAGATATGACGTTAGTTTCTGTAATTTAAATAATTGAATCTTAAAACAATTGTTTTAACAAGGTTAAGGAAAAAAAGGTGAATCAGATAATAGATTAGCATTTTTAAGTTACAGAATGAACTGCCAAGGTGGTGGGCACAAATTCATGATCCGCTGGAACCCAAACAAACGAGAAGGGTGAAAAATGAGTTTGGGACAGATTGGGTTGGTCATTGTTTTTCACGAATTTAGGATTTGATTCATTATAATGAATATACTTTGAATTTCACATGTTTATCTTTCCATCAGTGACATATTTATTTATGTCCTCGGATCTTTTTGTTTCTAGACTAAATCATTGGAATTAAAAAAATAATTAATTATGTTATATTTTTTATAAATATAAATTTTATTTTAAAAATACTTATAATATTAAATAGTATAATTAATAATTTTTATATTTAATAATATTAATATATTTTGAATTTATTATTTATTTTTTATAAAAAAGATCGGAGGAGTAATATAAAAGATATACACGAATGGATAGAATTATATAAAGTTTCGAATTAAAACTTAGCGATGGAAAGCGTCGAAAACAGAGGGGCAAGAACTGAGTCTGGCACCCGATACAAGTGTTGACTGGGAAGGATATTAGTAACCCAACCGCAATACATCAGAGACACAAACTATATCTATTACACGAAACACACTCGAGAAATTTGTGTACATAACATGTATTAGTTTTGGCCTCGGAGGTCACCTTTTATGCTCATTTCCCATTCATTTGGTGGTTGCTTTTCTATGACCAAATGCCACCCAATCAGAATTATTCCCATTATTGAAACGCATAGTGCACTGAGTGAGTCCACGGATCTCACAAGCATCAGAATGGCCCATGACAGAAGCATAGCACTCTGCAACCGACTGATTTGTGCACCCACCAGAATCATTGTTCCAATCACCAAAACAAACACCACAAAACCCAGCAACTCCAACAAAGGGAACACCCATTCGAAAACTGGGCCACGTTCTTGCTGACGCTCGACTGTTGATGACTGGCTCAACATGTCGGTTAATATCCAATAAAATGAACTGGTTACCATTAAAAAAGATGAAGCACTTTCTAACGTTTTCTTAACTTCTTGCAACCAGTGGAGTTCTTGCTGATTGCAACCAGTGGAGTTGTCTTGCAGATTTGAACTCATGTTGCTATCCCGCTTCAATTTATCTTCTCTATCTAAATCAAACTGCATTTCACATTCACTCTGCTGTTCCAATATGTCCGCACTATCATCATAAAGCTTGCCCCCTGGTACTTTCGTAGCCATTCCCTGCATTTTAATGGAATTCATCCGAGGCACAGTACTTTCTTCATCAATGATGATAACGATAAACAAAAACACCTCATCTTTAATCAAATATAAACATCCTAGTAATAAGCTAGATTATGCTATCCCAGATTGTTATTTTGAAACATTCATATGTGATTTCCGGTAAGTGGAATGATAATTCTCATCTAAGTTTCATTAATTTGTACAAGTAGAAGTTAGTAATACACATGATAATTAAAAACTCAAGTAAGTCGGTGAATAAGAGCCAGGAAGCTAACAATTTGTAAGCAAACAAAAGATTTCGTGAAAAAAGTGAACAACAGCAGAAGAAATGATAAGTAAGAATCGATGTGAATAACAAAACGCACCAGCTCCATGGAAGCAGTGTAAGAGACGAAATTTGTGAAATGTCTGAGCTGGATCAACAAAACAAAAGGGATGTTATGAACCAACACAAACACTGCAAGATCTTGTGTTTCCAAACCAACAGATATGTGAAACCAATTGCATAGCATAACTTTACCTTGTTGAGGTCCTGGCAATGAATTCAAAGAGAGACGCGTTGGCCCACACACTTGACAGAAATTTCAACTTTAACTCGTGCTTAAAGGTAAAAGCTGAATGCTTATTTTATTGATTATGGGAAGAGTTGGGGAGTTGTAGTGTGAAATCAAACTTGTTTTCACCCAATCCACTTTCTGGTTTCTGGAAGAGTTTGAAATAAGATCATCAAATATATATTTTTTTTTTCAATAAACTTTTATAAAGCAAATCGAGTGCAACAAATCCAGACGTTTGATCAAATCGCGTGATTAAAGATAAAAAGCTGAATGATTATTGGAAAAGTAGAAGCATACTTGTAATCTGAATAATTATTGGAAATCATACTTGCTTTTGGCGATTTCTAAAGAGTTTGAAAAATAGGTATAATTTTATTTGAACAAACTAATTTTACTAAACAAAGCACACGCGTTTGGGAATCTGTGAAAAAACATACTCAAACGCGTTTTCTACTCTGCAATTATCTCCAACTAGTAGTATCTTTTGTTCTGTTACTGCAGTGCTTTTAGTTTTGTAAGTGATCAGGATCAGGATCTATCCAGTGTAGCAGTTGCAGAACACGAATCTCTATCACAAAAACATCAAAATGGAAGGCTCACCTCAACAAGAGAGCGACATAAACGTAATAACAATTCTTATTCTCCTCTATTAAATTTATGTTGATGCTGCCTGCAATTCTAAGCATTCGGGATCTTGTATTCTGTGCTTTCACTTGTTAATTTATCATTCTTGGCATAATTTGATCGGTTTCACCTTTTGATTGCATTGCCACTAATTCTCAAAAGCAAATCATCATCATTTGATGTGTCCTAGTGTTTATTATCGATTGCTACGATAGGCTTTTTTTTTCTCATCTTATTGTGTAGTGTAGCCTTGTGTCATCTTATTGCTGTAAGTATAATTTCTTGTGCTAAACTCATCTTTCTCTAACATACCAAAAATTGCTGCCAACATTTTGGAGGGTGGCAACAGCAAAGTGGACATCTTGATGTTGTAAAGGCATATATTGGTGATAAAGATTTTAACGCTGATATTGGTCATAAAGATTTAAAGTCTTTCAAGCGTTTAGTAAGTAACTCTTCTCATCCCTTTCTTACAAAAGAAACTAATGACGATCATTGCACCATCTAGAACGTAACAATGTAATTTGCACCATCTAGTTGGAACAAAGGAAGCAGATAAAACTTTGGCAAGATTTGGAATTTGACTGGGATTGGCTTTCTTCTGCACCAGAACAGGTGCGGAGTCATCTTCCTCTCTTAATTTCTCATCGATTTCGTTGAGTAAACATTTGAAAGAGCTTACCAGAATAAATTTATGACTCGTATAAATAAGTTTTTATTTTATTTTATTTCAATTAATTTGATAATTAAATTTATATCTTAAGCATTTGTGTAACAAAAGCTTATCTTGCTTTTGTCAGGCATACGCAAAAGAACTTCCGGTTGTCTCAGGTAGTTTTGTGACATACAACCCACCAAAAAATGCTTCAACCTTCAAGGCATTTCTGGTCTCCCTACTGTTGAGTGTGATTGGTCTTTCTCCTCAGTTTCATTGGGCTTTGTTGATGCTCTCTTGTGGATTCTTAATATATCAAGCAAATAGCATCACCACTCAATTTTATTCCCAATTTGGAAACTCCACAAATAGTAATGCACCACACTCCCTGCCTCTATTGAGCTTCAGTGAAGCATTTGCAAAGTTGCTACCTGTGATGAAACCTATCACGATGTTCATACTGTCCTATCCAGTAACATTGTTGCTAGCTTGTCCAATACAACTCATACTTCAGATTTTTATCATGCTACTGTTGATTTTTGTTCCCTTCCACTGTTTTTCTGAAATTGTGGGCAAGGTGTCATCAGGGGTGAATGTGGCTTTTGGCCCATTCCACCTTCCACTAATCGTCTTTACCATCTTAGGGGCTTTTGCTCTTTCCCTCATTCTTCTTTTAGTCATATTGCTTGGCCTTTACCTCTTCTGGCGGTGGATATTAAAGGGGAGACCAAGTCTGAAAAATTTAGAGGGTAGTGTGAAGGATTTGTCTGAGATTTTGATTGGGATTTGAGCAACTGGCTTTCTTGTATTCCCACATTTTAACACCCTTAATATTGTGCTACTTGGTTTGTTGAACATTAGAATTTAGACCAGCCCAACTCGCGTTTGCGTGCTGCTGAACATATTTGTTGCATGTATTTGTTTACATCATGTTGTTAAACATGTTGAATGCCATCACCCTGATTTTGCCTTCAATACCAAGGTTAGGTTGAACCGTGTTTAACTTATGTGTTAGATTATTGTGAAGATGTCTCACATCGACCAAAAGTAGAAGTATAAAGTTTTTTCATAAATTATTCGTTATTCCTTCGTAGTACCAATCCTATTGCAAGGCTAATCTGAATGCTATATCGACAATTATGATATTCCAAATTCTAATGTAGAAAGAATTGTAGGAGTGTTTGTTAATTTTGCTCTTGTCAAACGAACAAATTCAAATGACGAATAGAACCCTTTTTTTGGGGTCTGAATAAAACTTTAGAATAAAATCATTGTTTAAAGACAAGAAACCCCCCCCCCCCCACCCCAACTCCAAGAGGATTAAAATTGTATGTCCCTTCCTCCTTTCCCTCTTTCCTAATCCTTCAATAAAATTGTGACAAATCAGTAATAGGTGAACGATTTAGTAACGTCGTTAATCCTCAATCCGTGCGTCTATGTCACATCTTGCTAGAAATTTTCGTGTCAACAATGGAGCCACCGCATCTTGCTCCCTGTAAAATCACATTCAAACACCTACAAATACCATTAAATTCCGAAATTCCAAACCCTTCTTCAAAAACACCACTCACAAAATCCCACGCGATAGCGGAAGAGGAGTCGGTGAAATCATTGTGATGAGTGCAATTGCAATTGTTTTCATGGATAAAAAAAATAAGACAGTTATTCGATGCACAACAGTGTCTTAATATATATGTCACTGAATATTAATTTTGCAATGATGTTTTCAATGTTGAAACTGCAGTCTGAACTCTGAAGGCAATTAGCATAATGAGCAAAATAAGATGTTTCCAGAGCTTCTTCAAAAATTTTATATTTTGATAAGGTTATTTTTGCCCAGGACATTCATAATTTCAACTTCCCATAAAGCTGTAAACGGAGAGGCTGCATGAATTAGCTTCAAAATGGGTGATTCTAATATCCTCTTTATCTTCGCTGAAAGTCTCTAAAGAATAGCTTCTTCAAAAGCTGATATAGCTTCTCCACCGTTAATTTGAAGTGTTTTTGATCCAATGGTTAAGATTACATAATGGACAACCGGAAAGAGTATCTTACCCAAATAACAAATAACATAACAGTGACAACACTATCATTGTAATGCTTCATTGTTAATGAATGAAACCAACAATGTGGCTATGTCACAAGTGTGTTTAAAGATATGAAAATCTCAAGAGTCTCATAAAATTTAATCTCCTAGAAATAAGGATCTTCATCAGAATGACAAACAAAATTTCATCCCAGGTCCACCGTTTTTCTACTCTCTGTATCATTGATCTCCACCCAAAGAGTTCATTTCCCTAGAAATAAGGGTTCTATCTTTTGTAGGACCAGAGTTAAGAACATTATTGTACTGAAAGTACGATGGTAACTTGTGATCACCTATTATTAATATCATCCAATTAATAAGGGAGATAGCAAGTTAGTCTTAGCAACAAGATTGTTGAGGGAGTTATGGTAACTTGTGAAGCCAGTCTTCATCATCTATTATTAACTATCCAATTAAAAAAAATAAAATCAATGGCCATAAAATTTGGAGAAGTCATCATTCAGCTTTTCGAGAAGTCATCTTTCAAAGACTTTTGAACAAGATAGTGAGGATATTAGAATCAGCCCTTCAAAATAAGATGTTTCTAGAGCTTCTTCAAAAATTATAAGATGATATAAGTTTACCCAAACTATACTTATAAGTAATAAAAGTGCTTAACCTAATAGATAAGCTATTATGAGCTGTATCCTAACAGGCTCTAAGTGCATCATTAAATTTTGTTGACAGAGAAAATTAAACCATCAAACCAATTATGTTGAATTCATGCAATTTTGCAATTTTAATACAGTTTTTCTATTTAGTATGGAGTAAAGTTACAAATAAATTACAACTTACAGATTCTGAGCCAAAAGTTACATGTCTGTATTTTGGAATGTTTAACAATCTTTAAATCTTTCTGAAGGGAAAACTGGCATTGTCTCTTCTATAAGAAAGAACTCATTTGTTCAAATCTCTGAGCTTTCTCCAGTTGACCAGAGTGTGTAAGTAGTTGGACCATAATGGCAAAGTGTCTCTTAGATGCTTCAACTTTATATTTAGGCATCAAATTGAAGATTCTACAAGCATCATCAACAAATCCAGCTCTGTCACATATAGATAGAACAGCTTCAAAAGTTAAGTGATTTGGAGAAGATATCATCTGATTAAAAAGGTCAATTGCATCTTGATACAATTCATTATATCCGTAGGCCCTTATAAGAGCAGTCCATGTCATAGAACCTTTAACTGGAACGGCATTAAAAACCAACTTTGCCTTATCAATGTCTCCAAAAGAACCATACATATTGATAAGTTCTGCGGAAACGAAATGGACAGATGCAAAGTACCTTTTCAAGAACTGCCCATGAATCTCCTTCCCAAGCTTTACGAGTTTTAGTTGACCACAAACACTCAACATCCTTACCATGGCAACAGAGTCTAGCCTATGCTTTGACAATTGCATTGACCTTATCACATCAAGTGCTTCATACAAATACCCATTTTCTATATATGAATGAATCATGGCTGTCCATGTAATCAGATTCCTTTTCTCCATAGCATCAAATAATCTTCTAGAATACTCAACCACACCGCACTTAGAATACATTACCATCAACGAAGTTACAGACACGTTAGGCAGAAACCAATGTTTCAAAGCATAAGCATGAATCTGCTTCCCTTGATCCAAAGCCCTCAACTGAGCACAAATTGGAAGAACAGTGGCAACTGTCACCACATCAGGCCTGAACCCTTCTTGCTGCATCCAAATTGTGGACCTTAGTGCCTGCTCTAGTTTGCCATTTGTAGCATAACCCGACATCAAAGCTGTCCAACAAACCACATTTCTCTCCCTTGAGCTATAGAAAACTCGTCTTGCTGAACTCATATCCCCACATTTGCAATACATATCAATCAAAGCAGACTGAATTGGCACTTGCTTAGAGTATGATTTTGTCTTCAATACATAAGCATGAACCTCCTGACCCAACCTCCGCGCACAAACTTCGCCAATTACAGGAATAACAATCGTCACTATAACCGAATTCAGCTCCACTCCTTCCTCCACCATCCACCTTACATACTCCAACACTTTTCCCTGCAACCTGTTGTGCGCAAAACCAGCAAGCATCGCCCCCCACACAACAACATCTCGCTCAGGAATTTCCTCAAACATGCGACGTGCAAGCTTAATCTTCCCACACTTGGAATACATATCAATCAAACTAGTCCGGATAATGTAGTTATCAAGCAAACCATTCTTGATCAAAAGGGCATGAGTCTTCAATCCTTGGAAAAGCGCCGGTGCGCCGGCAAAGCTCTTGATGACACTGGAGAAACTATACACATTCAACTCAACTCCCAATGCCCTCATCTCAGAAAAAGTTTTGAGCACATCAATGTACTTTCTCTTACCCGAAACCACAGTCCCTCTGAGCAAAGCATTCCAAGGATACACACTCTCACAGGGCAATTCATCAAACAGTTTCTTAGCATCTTCGAATGACCCACAAGAAGTGTACATGTGAACCAGTTTTGTGCGCAAAAAAGTGTTATCTTCAAGCCCATTGATTCGAATATGGGTGTGAATTTCCCTTCCTTTTCGCAATGACTTGGTGCGGATGCAAGCAGCAATGAGGGAAGAGAAGGTAGTGACATTAACAGGAATACCCTGTTGATCCACGTAGTCCAAAATGGTGAGAGCCTCTTTGAGCTTGTTCTGGCGAGCGAATCTCTTAATGTCTTTGTAAATGAAAATTGGGTTTTTGGTGTGAAGGGGTAAGGAGCAAGGAAAAGCGTCTTTTTCAGCGAAAGGTTTCACTTTGTTCTTGTTCCTCTGTTTCCCGCTGGTGGTGGTGATTCTGGGAAGATTTCTGTGATGGATTTTGGGGGGTGATTGGGTGGATTGGGGTGATGGGGATTGTGAGGAAAGTTTAAAGTTGAAGACTTTGAAGATGTTGGGTGTGGAGTTTGGAGGGAAACCCAGTGAGAGAGATGAAACAGAGTTTTGCATGGTGGAAACAGAGTGACTTAGCAGTCACCACCCAATGGAATGGATATTTTTTAAGCTGAGGCATAGTCTTTGGGGACGCTCCACAAGAAGACACAGAAAAAGATAATTGTTTTTTAATTAACTTAAATAATTTTTTTTAATTTAAGTGAATTTTGTAGACTCTTAAATAAATTATTTTGACTCATATAAAATTTATACATTTAAAGAAATGAAAACTAGTGTGAGAAAAAAAAGAATTGAACATAGATAGAAATAAGAAAAGATTTGGTGGAAGAAGAGAAAGATGGAAAGATAGATATGAGGTGAGGTGAGAATGAAGAAAAACAAAGTGTTGGATATGAGATAAAGGGAAGAGAGAGTCGAGTAAAAGTTAGAAAAAATTTAATATAAAAATTGAAGAAAGAGTGTTAAATATAAAGAAAAAGAAAAAAAATTGAAAGAATAACGAAAAATTTATTAAAGTTAAAAAATTTTGTTTAAGTTAATTTTATATAAAAAAACTTTTGTTATTTTTCTGTATTTTTAATTGAGCCCATTTTTACTTCCATCAAATTTCATTAACAAAAAAATATATGCAAATTTTTCATTTTTTAATGTTAAGCCCCTGGAAAGAAATAACAATATTTTGTATGCATAAAAAATATTTATCATTTGACACTCAGAAATTAGTTTTTAAAAATAAAAAAAAACTAAAGTAAATATAATTATTTTAATAAAAAGTAACAATATTGTAAGTTATTGACTCTTTATTCATTTTCAAAGGGGCTTATGGCAAGTCTCATCTATGGCGAACATGTAGGATGGAGCTTTAAATTTGGTTGATTTCGAAGAATGCTCTCAACTCCTTGTCAATTAAAGAAAGCCCTCGTTGATATCAATCAAATTTCAATGTGACTATTCCGTAACACTTCGTTTATAAAATTTTTCAACAAAAATAATGTTCACTCAAAACTTTAATTTATTTCTCCTATAATTTCTTAAATTAATCTTCAAAAATATATGATTTAGGTATTTAATTTTAAAACCATTCATAAGTTTCTAATTTTATAAAAATTTATTTAATTTAGATTTTTTTAACTTTTTTAAAAATAAACCACCAAAGTAAATATCGTTTTGTAAGGTTAGGATTAATGAAAAATTTTAAAAAAAATTAAACATCTAATTTATACAAATTTAAGGATTAATGGAAAAACTAACTATATTTTTTGAATTTAGAGTTTAAAATTTAGTGTATAAATTAAGTAAAATATCATTATAGTTCTAACGTATATAATTATTAATTATTTTAATCTTCATAATTATAAAAATTCTTTAAAATAATTCTTAAACTAACTAAAATATTATTTTAATTTTTAACATATATAATAATCAATCAGTTGAGCTGTTAAGTTCTGTTATCAGAAAAAAATAATCAATTACTTTAATTTTTAATTTATGTAATTATTAATTGTTTTAGTTTCTATTGTTACTTAAATATTAATCAATTATTTTAGTATTTATTATCACTTATATATTGATTATTTCATCAGTTAATTTAGTTTTTATAAATTTTAAATTTAAAAATTAAATTAATAAATTTTGAAAAATCTAAATTTTAAAATATGTTATTATATAATGTCACATAATAGATTTAATTGATGTTTAACGTGCTAAATTAACTTATTTGATAGAATAACTAATATTTCTATGATGATAAGAATTAAAATAATTAACGATTGTATATGTGGTAGATTAAAATAATATTTTATTTAATATAAAAAATATTTTGATAAATTTTTAAAATAATAAAGATAAAAACAATTAATAATTATATATATTAAAAACTAAAATATATATTTTTAAATTTATGAACAATTTTAATACATTCTAATTTTAGTAGAGATTAAAATGATAGTTTATTAATTCTACTATACGCAGTGCGAACTTAATAAAAGGCTACGAAATTTTCAAAAACCATTAACGGCAGTGTGGCACTACAGTTGCGCAGTGCCTAGAAATTGGCTGAAAACGACAATTGCGATTACGAAGAAAGTACGTTATTAATCAATATTTGACTTTTTGTTACGGAATTTCTTTGATTTTTGCCAAGTCTTCTATGACTATAATCGCTTTAACTCAGCACCTTTCAAATGATAATGTGTAGAATATTAAACAAAGAATTATATAAAAATATTATTTTAAAAATAGTCATTTTCTCATTATATTGTAATTACTTGAAAATTTTATTCTTACAATACAACGCCTAATCACTATAATAAAATAGCTGCAATCTTAATTTTCATATAACCAGAATTAGCTACCTTCATAGAATTAATAATTAAAATTGTAAACGCTACGCCCTTAACAAAATGATAAAAATGTAAAACATATGTATCTATTATCCTTTCTAAATATTTATTGTCATCTTATTTAAATTATTTTTATAATAATAATAATAGTAGAAGTGTTTTTAATAAAAATTACTGACAATGACATAATTTTTAACAGTAAGTTATAAAATACAATTCATTTAATGCTTCTCAACATTAATAGCCTAACTCAATTCAACACGTAAATATTTTTTAGTCAATACTTGACATCGACCCAAAAAAAAGGCTATACTTGACCAAGTCAACAAACTCAAAGTCGTCTTCAATCTGCGGTCTTGATCAGAGAAATCAACACTCCCTCTAATTGCCCTTAATTCTTTCTATGTATCAACTTGATCAAAATTAAATTCGATCAGAAACCATGTACTAGTATCCATCTCATAACAGCATTTCAATTGAGCCATTCTTTGATCATCCAAATTTCACTTTTTCAAGGGTCATGGCAAATTTTGGAACAACACAAAGAATACCCACATCATCGACACCCTTATCAACTGATGACACTTACGAACCAAAATCACCCCATGAAAAGTTGTACAAAAATTTCAAAATTTATTGCCCTATTAGCATTCCCTTGACAGCAGAAGACGCAGGAGTTCGCATAATCAAAAACATGGGTACTTTTGGATTATATTACACCCTCTTTGTGTGGATCATACTCTTCATAACCCTCATCCCTCAACGTAAGGTGTCCTTAATTTTGCTGGTTATTATGACCTATGTGACAACCATTTACTGTTTAGTGTTAAGGGCATTTCCCAACTCTGTTTTGCTTCATAGAATCATAGATAAACGGTTTGTGTTGGCTTTGTTAGCAATAGCTACTGCAGTGCAGCTGATTTTGACTGAGGCAGGGATTCATCTTGCTGTGACTTTGGCTTGTAGTGTGCCTATAGTTTTGGTTCATGCTGTTTTGTGGGCTAGTTTTGAGGCCTTTGAGTTTGAGAATGCTTCTGGGACAGGAGAATTGGCTCCTCTTGCTGCCGATAAGGAAAGCCAAGCTGAGAATTCAGATGTTGTTTGACTCTGCTAGGAGTCTCACGTTAAATTGATATAGTAGTATTTTCAGTTGGCTCTTTTCATGTGCTTAATTTTAGATATATATATTTGTCACTATATTGTTCTCTCTAGAAAAATGTGGATGTAATAAAACAATGAAAATGCATTGTATGCAATGAGCATTCGGATTATGTGTGTTATTCATTTGCTGAATAAGACCTGAGGAACAAAAGTGGTAGTATTTGTTGAATAAGGGTAAATATTGAAACAAATGTGTCATTCATACTTTTTACAGTGGCAATTTCTCTTATTAAGATATGCTTACATTGCTCTTTCCAGGTCAATAGCAAACTACGGAACTAATTATTTTTCCTATAATTTTTATAAGACAAGTCATGACTAGATGCGGAAGTGCATCCATTATGATCATTAAAGTAGGTGAAGAACTAATCTTAGTAATCTCTGTTTTATTGGGTTTGATTATCATCTTTATCTTCTTTTTCAACACTTCAATTCAATCACTCTCTTGATGCTTTCAGTTTTGGCACTCATGTCTACTGTCATTTCTCAAGCACATTTGATTATACTTTTAATTAATAAAAAATATATTAAAATTGTTATATATTACATGATAATTGGTCAAAATTATAAATATATGAAATCGTAGATTACTTGAATAATTTTCTTTTCTTTCGGGTCTTGGGATGGGGTGAAAAAAATTGAGCCATATTATTATTATTATTTGTTGCAATTTTTTTATTTCAATAATCACATTCAAAATTGCAGTTACGATTTAAAACTTTCCCTTGTAAATTAAACTTATTTACCAGAGGAAAAGAAATATAAGTAAACGCTTCTGCTACTAGAGGTTTTTAAAAGAAAAAAAATTAATAGATTTTAATTTTATAAATATGACTAAAGTTTATTTTATTTTTTCAAAATAAAATATTTGCTTTAATCATTAAGAAATTTATTTAAAAAAAAATAGTCTATTGTTATTTTGTGATGACATAACATATATTTAGTCATGTCACATATCAGTAATTATTATGAAGTAATAAGTGATGTTGTTTAAATACCTATATAACTTTTTTTTAACATATGTAATATTTGTATATGATAAGAAATTACTATTTTATATTTTGTTAAAACTTATAAAAGTTAATATAATTCAATGCATTGATATTATTAAATTATATAATTTTTTTAATAAATATTTACTATATATAACTTCTTGTTAGTACAATATTACCCATGTTACAAATATCAATAAATATATCTCACATTGTTGATAAGTGATGGTAATAAAAATTATTTTTAAATATTACAAATGATTGAAAACTAAAATTAAAAAAAATATATATTTTATCTAAAAAAAAAGTACTTGGCAGAGAAATTAAACTTTAATGGCAGAAGTGATATCAGTATGAAATAGTTAACAATGATCTGATGCATATTCGTTTCTTTAAACAGCACTTCTCTTCACTGGGTGGGTAAAAGAATAAGGCTTCTAATATAACTGCCAAATATGCTTTTGTGAATTCATCTTGTACTAATAATGAAGAGTCTCTTAAATAAAAATGTTTTCATAATTAGCAATTTAAAATATCATACACTCTTTACTCGAAATTGCATGCTCTATCAAGTATGTATCACTTTATATTCATAAATATATTATTTAATAAAAATACGAATATATTCTTATTATTCAAAAACTGTACTTAAACTTCATACAAAAGTATTTTATGAAAATGAAACGAAAAATAGAAAATAATTAAAATTACCCTTGAATGAATAGTAAGTTACAAAAAATAAATAAATGAAACTGTTCAAGAGATAATAATTATAAACATTTTTCTTTAATATTAACAAGACCTCATTTAACAATTTTTTAAACACATTTTTCCAGTTAGTTACCAAAAGAGTGTTAAAAAGAGCATGATGCACTTCTCATCACCATTTCAATTAGCAATTTAAAACCTTGAAGTGAACTATGTACTCCTAAATCCTAAACATTAAACATTCTCTAAACCCTCAGCTCCACATGTACATTTGTTACGGCCTTTTAGAGGAGCCAATTCTTTGGCTGCAGAAGCATCCTCAATCATAAAGACATTGTGACTAACCCATAAAATTGCATGCATCAAAACTAAAGGCACAGCACAAGCTAAAGTCACTGCAAGATGAATCCCTGCCTCAGTCAAAATCATTTGCACCACTGTTGCAAACACTAGCAAAGCAAATACAAACCTTTTATCCATTCTTCTATGAAGAAAAATAGAATTGGGGTATGCCCTTAGAAGTAAACAATAAAGGACTGAGACATAGGTCATTATAACCAACAAAATTAAGGACAACTTACGATGAGGAATGAGGACTATGAAGAGTATGATCCACACAAAGAGTATGTAATATAAGCCAAGATTCTCCAAGTTTTTTATGACACGAATTGCTGCAGCTTCTGAAGTCAAGGGAATGTTAAAGGGCCAATAAATTTTGAAATCAGTGTACAATTTTTCTTGAGGTCCTTTTGGTTCATGAGTGTCACAACTAGATGAAGATGTGGAGGTGGTGGGTGGTGTTCTCTGGGTAGTTCCAAAGTTTGCCATAACACATGAATTGGAATTTGGACGATCAAAGAATGGCTCAATTGAAACACCCCTTCTATTATTGAACCACAAATCAGGGATGTTTGATCCAAATACCCCACAGAAACTAGAAGGATAAAAGTAAGATGGGTACATTTATTATTTTCTCTTTGTGAATTTGAACGAAATTAATTCATACATATATAATAGAACGATTAGAATCTTAAATTATCTTCTAGGGTAGGGACAAAACCTGTTTGTCACATAGGACATGGCGAATATCAAAGAAATTTCATAAAGAAAAGTACAATATTACAGGGAACCTTCTTTGTTGTTTCTCTTTGGTCATTCCTTCTTTGTTGTTTCTAACGTTGCTTTTAGTTATTCTTTTGGGCCTATGCGGAACTATCCATCTAAACTAGCGTGTAATTTAAGAAATGTGTGTTCTTGATTGACAATTTTAGAAAATAACGAAAGAAAATAACGTTGATTTTGATACTTGGATGTAGTGATCATTAAAACCTTTTTCCTGTTACTTGTTAATGTGTGTTTGGTACATGTCCATTATAAAAATAATTCAATAAAATAACACAAACATTTATTTAATAATTTTAATTGATCACTTAGCTATTACAAATTGAAATAACTATTAAAATGCGTTTCTTCATTTTTTGGCACCTATTAATTTATTAATAAAATGTGATTCTAAATAGATTCTATGACTATTGAGATTGTTAACTTTCTTATAATCTTCTGTTACCATATGTTATGTTTAGGTAGAGAATGATTTGAATGCAAATTTTTGAACTCAAAAAATGGTTGTAATGAGCAAAACGTCCGAAACAAATAATTGAAAAAAGTACGCACTTTCGTGGTCTCCCCCGAATCCAATTTTAACTTACATGTGCAAATGCTACTGGATATGAACAACCATACAACAAAAATGAGATGTGCTGAGAGCCACGAACTCAGAGTTTTGGTCCCTAAAACGCTCCAAAAAATAAGAATCTGAAGACAAATTTTAAAGTGAAAAAAAGGTTAGCAGAAAGGAGAGAGATAGAAATTAAAAAGACAAAAAAAATAATAGATGTAATGTGATAGAAAAATAAAATGAAAGAAGTGAAAATATAAGCCATTTGTATAAATTTTATTATTTCATGTCCTTGTAATTTTTAGTTACCTCAATTTTATGAGGCTGCCTAGGCAAAATACTACTTTTTGGTAATATGAGGAGAGAGAGAGAGAGAGAGAAGAGGGGGGGGGGGGGAAGTAAAAATATAACAAATAATGGGAAAGAAAAACTGTAAAAATGAGATGAAGAGGAGATGGAAATATTATACAAATATATAAATAGAATTGATTATCAAAGTGAATTGTGTAAAGAAAAATGCTAATAATTAACATTTTCTAATTCACTTTTAGCAATTAGTTAAAATTTATAAAAAGGATTTTGTTAATAAGAATAAACAGTTAATAATAGTAAAATTTTATTAGAAAGAGAAATATTTATTGCACTTTTATAATTTTAATACAATAATTATATATTTTTTTCATTAAAATTTTTTTTATTTGTGAATACTTAAACTTAGTCCTAATGGTTGATATTAATAAAATTCTTATAAAAATCATTAAAAAAAATGTGAAATCTCACTCTTAATTTAATTATTTTTACTTAGACTTTAGTATTTTTTTAACAAATTTTAATAAAAGTGTTATGGGATCTCTTCTTGTATAAATGTCGTGGGATTATTGCATCTCTTGAAATTTCTAGTACAAAAACTAGCGCACAAGTTTAGTGTAAATAGTATTATGTTTTCTTAAAAGGTGCATGATCATTGCATCAAATTATGTTCACTAAGTCAATTGGAACATTTATTATTAGCTAATTACCACAGGTAATAATACTTAACTATCATAATGATGTGTCAAAAAAATGTTGACTAATTGCATCTAATTAGGATATGTCAACTTTATGCAACCATTTTTCAAGCATAACCTGTGAAAATTTACTTGATTTATTGAAATAAATGTTAATTAAACAGAATGAACTGAGATAAATCTTTGTCCGTAGCAGATTAATGGAGCAATGTGATTTTATTCCAGAAGGTAAATGCCAAAAGAACTTTGCCACTTAAGCTAAGACTTAAAATGATTAGAAAATTTTAAAACAGAAATTGTGGTACGCTTATGTTGCCTCCCAAAAGCTTGTTTTACCTAATACTTCAATAGTTATAGAATTCAACTTATGATTTGACTACGTTACGTGATTCTTTCAAAATAAAACAAGTGTATTTTAAAATATAAAGTGTACTTACAATTATTATCAGAAATTAATAATAACGGTTTGTTTAGTTTAATGTTGGTGGGTACGTAGTTGAGTTTTAATTAAAAATAAAAGTTTGTTATTGTTTTAAGCACAAAAACACTAATAATACATATCAAATAGTCTTTTAAACAAAATAGATTCTATAGAATATACAAACATGGTCTGAGATTGTAACTAATGTTAAATTTTGTCATACAAATACTTTATTTCTTTTTAGTTTTTCAGAATTTTAGAAAATAAAAAAAAATGTCTCATTTCAAGGCAGAACAATTTATTGAGTTTAAAAAAAATACTTTCGAAATACTTACATTTTTCTTACTTCAAAAAAAAAAAAATGAAAGTTCAAACTGTCAAATGGAAAACTCTATCTTACTCTATTCGAGCAACTCTTTATAATTATATCTACTTATTTTTTGGTACCATCTCAACTAATGACCAAGATATTAAAGGCTATAAAGTATATTATATTGTCTAAAATGCATTTCTTCACTGTAAAAGGGCCAAGTAGACTATTATATCAACAATGCAATTAAATTGTATAAACCAATCTAAATCCAAATTGAACATATAAAAACATGTGTAAGTTACTATTTCCATTATTATATTTAGGATTAATTCAGTTTTTTAATTCATAAAATGCTACTATTAATTAAGTTAATATTAAAATGTGTTATTTGATATTTTGTTTTTATTTCTTTTTCAAATGAGTCTTTCATATGATTCCTTTAAATATTATATTTTTTTTACATAATTCATCTAAATATCACAAGTTTTTCACTTGGTCCTTATAAATACCATAAATTTCCCATATAACTCCTTTAAAACGAGGAATTAAATGAAAAAAATCACGATATTTAAAAGAATTAAATGAATAGAAGATATAATTTTATAACAAAAACTTTATTATAAAAAACTCATTTAAAAGGAAATAAAAATGAGGGCACAAATAAAAAAAATCAAAGGAATAAAACTTAATTAAGCCTTATACTTATTATGTACTATTTATGTACTATATATATACAAGACAGTTGATTCAACCAATTACTTATTAGTTAAACTAATTCCAATATCACAAACGAGTTGAATAGTTAATCGAGTTTAACATTTTGAAATAAAATCCATCCGAATTCATTTCCAAAGCTGAGGCAAATATCTTGTTACACATGAACAGGTGAGACTAATACATGTCAAATTGCACCAAGTATATGAACTCCAAGATATATATAATCCCCAAGTATATAAATCAATGGTACAAGAACAAGTTTCTAATGGGATCAACAATCAACTTTGACGAAACTTGGGCCACACTGTGACTACTCCTGGTCTCGTTTCCTCAAAACGGTAACTGCACCATAATTAATATAAAATGTAAAAATAACAAGGTAAAAAAAACTTGAACAACTTGATTATATACCATTTGATTGGTTGCTAACCAACCCGTGTAGAACTTTTTATTGTAGCAGTGAGGGCATTATACTACTGCAGGGAAATATGTTGTATGTACCTGTTTTCATTGAGGAAATTTCTGACAGCTGTAGGAAGAGCTGCTTGGCCCCTACTGTGATTACCAATGCCTGTAGAAATGAAAGGGTAATTAAAGTCATCATTAATGATGAATGCTGACAATGAATACATGTTTTTATATTTAATAAATAAATAACTACAATCCTAATTTTGTATTCAATAGCTGACCATGGCATGTCCGAGAAAATAAATGACTGATCAACAATGACAAAAAAGATAAGTAAAAAATGAATGAACGGATGAAAGAAAATGAACATTAATATGTTATATAATTTTAATCTGTATCTCATTTTCAGCTGTTAACAGTGGGAGCTTCTGAAGACATTATTTATATGATTAATGGAAGTGTTAGTTATGTTTTGAAGAATGTTTGCTACAATAAAAGGACAACTAACAGAGACTAAAAAAATGTAATTTAAGTCATTGGATACTTGACAGTATAGGAGATTTAGGTATAATGGAAATTAAATGCTACCTATGTTGGTTGAAGTCACATTAGCCTAGCATATGCAAAAAAGAAATTCTCTGCAGGCAGAATTACCTATACAAATATAAACATATATTTTATATGTTATCGCATGGTCAAACAGAAGCAAAGATACCTGTTATGACATCTAAGGCTAGTGATCTAAGCCTTAATGGTGCTTGTTTATCCATAATTTCCCTGTCCACGAAATTGAGAGATCCAAGAGTTGAATGTTCAATCCCATTCTCTTTCACACCATTTGAAGTGGCTGAACTCTTTAAGAAGCCTTTGCTTTCAATTCTATAGAGATGTTCTTGCAATGCTTGAATAGCTTCTGCTGCATGAAGGCCATGCAAATCCAGTCTCCAGATATCATTTTCATTATTCCTAATACTTAAAATTTTTTTGGCCGCATCAGAATTAAGTTCTTCAGCAGTATGCCATTCCTCCCAAGCTTTCATTGAATGATGTTGAGCAGAAAAATGATCACCTCTTAGAAAAGCACTAGAAGCTGCCCTAGAATGTCGCGATGCTGACCTGTTTAATTAAAAAGGTGTAAAGTCCCCATGCAGAGTGACAATCTGAAAACTGTAATACAGAAATTTGATCTATTCAATAAAACAACCATTGTAAAATTTGAAAGGTTTCATCTCTGACTATAGGCAACGATGAAATCCCTATGATTAAAGATTATTATTCTTTATTATTACGAAATCTACACAAGAGAAGTCTCAAATAGGAAATATAAGATAGCATGGATTAATTAAACCTTTTGAATCTAAAAGAATGTGCAAAACTGGAAATTCTATCACATAAAATAGAACAGGCTAGAGCTCTTTCTCAAAAAGTCATTGAAAATCTAAAACCAAATTACTAACATAAAATAAGATAGATAGAAAGCACCACCAAAGAAGTAAATTCATTACTGGAAGCTGTTTCTATTTTTAATTTATTAAGGTTAAGGCAACCAATTCTGTAAGCAAATTACAGGTAGTTTCAAGACCTACGTATAGGCACAGCAGGAAAAAAATATGGGAAGTCGTTCACATTCAACTAAATTACAATCAGTTTGATTTGGAGAATTCACGAGTCATGACAAGGGAAAACTAAGTCAAGCTTTGATCAATATGTATCACTGCAGATAGAAACCCATCCCTTAGTACAATTGTTTCACCACATCATCTTATAAAAAAAAATAGACAACAGAAGAAAGAATAAATATATAGATTAGTATATTACATGAGAGAAGAATGCTGATAATAGATAAATAATCATAAAAACAAATACATGCGCAAGTAAGACATAACTAACACCATTTTCAGAAATAACACATGAATTGGTATTCATACCTTATTGTCTTTAATGCATCCTTTCGATGGCTAATGTAAATATCATCATCCTCCCATTCAGGCTCAACAGGAACAGAATTCAAGAGATTCATTTTCCATCTCAAGCTATCAACATCAGAAAGATTTTGACCTGATAAAGTCTTTCTATCCTCTGAGTCTTCATTATTATCTTGGAGAGGACCAACAAGATTTGAATGGAAGGGAATGTCATCCTTGATTTTTTCTAAAGTAAGACTTTCATCAGTCTTCTCCCCACATGGAGTATCATCTGAAGCAGTTGATCTAGGACTGCTTGATGCTTTGCATTCTTCAGAGTTCACAGCACAGGCCATTGTTTCCAATAAAGCCGAGGCCTTATCAATATTGTTATTAACAGAAGCTAAGATATCATCTATCAAGCTAATTTCAGCCCAATGATGCTGCTCTTTAAGCATTTTGATAGCTGAATTAACATCTTCCTGAGCAGTAGTCCCACAATATTTTCCATCAGTATCAGAACCTAACATTGCTTTTTTCCTATTCTCACCTTCTTTCAAAGGGGGAAAATTCGTAGTTGGGAGAAGTACTGAAGAAAAAGGCTTCGAAGGAACATGATTCTTCTTGACAATAGGATCAGAAGTGCCTATAGGTGGGAAAGGGTCCTTGTCAACTTCAGATTCAATATTGTTCTTCTTTCTCTGCTTGAGATCAAACGCTGTCCAACCAGAAGATTGACCCCTACCCCACGACATCTTCTTAAGGAAAGATCCAGCTGAAACGGTCATCTTGACCCGTACACCATAATTCGAGCACAAATCACTTCACAGTTCACAATCTCTCTGTCTGAAAACTTATGCAAATTTAGAAGAACTCAGGGATCCACAATATGGAGACCTCGCTTGCAAAAGACAATAACTGCAAACACTAAGCATCACACCATGTGCCAGTATGTTAGACAATCACTGCATAAGAGATTAATATTTTCACAACATGATCAAACATTTGACATCACTAAACATAATATAAACAAACTCAATTTTAAAACCATCAATTTAAGCCTAGTAAACAATTCAAAGCAAGCACAGCACAAAAAGTATGCTTAAGAATCTCGAAACAAAAAAAAATGGAAAATTGAGCAAACCCAGGAACTAAATTTAAAACAGAAAATAATAAATGAAAAATTGAGCTGAAAGAACAAAACCCATATGAAAACTAACCTTTCTGTTTTTTCAAAAATATAACACGAGAGATAGAAGGTAGCTTGAACGCTATTTAGGAGCCAGAAAGCGTAACCAAGGAATGAATAGATCGAAGGGTTGAAAAAGCGATGAAATCACAGAGCCAAAGAGTTGTTGGTGGAAGAAATTAGCGACGAAACAGAGCTGCAGAGAACCAAATTTGCACGTGTTATCCATAAATGTACTGCGAGAGAAGATTGTAAAGAGGGGAAGAACAAATTTTGGGTTTTTCTGGTGATTCCTCCCAAAGGGTCTCTCAGAAATCACAAATAGATTCTATAAAGAATGATTTGACAGCCGCCACACCGTCACGGAAACAATAACGGAAAGTCCAACGATAACGTAGGAATTTACGAAAGTCACCCTGTACCTATATTCTTCTTATTATTAACATGAGTTTATTGTTTATCTAATTCTTTTATTAATTCTTAATTAGTGGATTTTCGTGTACTTTATGAATATTATTAGAAAAATTAAAATATTTAAAATATATTATATAATTATTTTAAAATTCTAACAAATTTTATAACTTAAAAATATTTGTATTATTAATAATAAAGATTTTATTATATTAATAAGATGAAATTAAAGAAATAAAAAATTAAGAATTAAAAAATAATTTTAATATATTTTTTTAAAATAGATTTATTGTCTTCAAATACATTTTTATTTAAATATTCAGAGTGATTCTACCACTCCAATAAAATTATCTTTGATAGAAAATATAAATATTTTTTAATTTAAAATTTAATTTAAATAAATTATTAGTGTAAAAAAATTTTACACTATCATTTAGCTATGAATTATTATATCAACAAAAACTATTAATTTTTACAATAATTAATATTAAAATTATTCATAATGTATTCTAAACGATTAATAATGCAAAAAACAATTACTAACAATGTATTAAAATTAATTTTTTTTTTATATAATAATCATGTATTCCAATCATAGATTAAATAGTTACATTTTTATTTAGAATTTAGTTTAAATAAACTAATAATGTAAAAAATTATACTGTTACTCAATCATAAATTATTATATCAACAAGAAATTATTATTTTTTAAATAATTGATATTAAATTATATCTACAGTATATTATAATTAATTAATAATATAAAAAATATATTATTAAATTTAAACTTTTTGTATATATAAATAATCGTGTATCTTATTACATCAATTTTAAGTTAATTTTAAATTTTTTATCACGTTCAATATAATATAGTATGTGAATTTGGTATGAAAAAGTACACAATTATTTACTTAAACTATGTCAATTAATAAATTATTATATCAAATAGGATGCTGTTTTAACTTTTATTGCACAAGATGAAAGCCAGGCTGAATATTTACCAATTTAAAAATAAGTAAGTTAAATTATATTTTTTTCCTCTGTATTTAAGTGAAGTAACTTAATTTAATTTTTACTTTATTCATTTAATTTAGTTTTTTAAATTATTTATTATTGTTAAAATGTTTCTTTCATTTTATTTTATCATTCATTTTTTATTGATTCAAATAACGTTTTAGTGTTTAATGTAAATATGAGTTGATAAGCAACAATAATTTTAAATGAAATTATATTAAATTAAAAATAAATACATAATGTAAAAAATTAATTTGTATGATAAAAAAATTAATCCTTAAAAATATTTATATTTGATAATACTCTTAAAAATACTCTCTGTTAAAAATACTCTTAAAAACACATTTGTGTAAAAGTAATATTTACAGATTATATAGACTTTCTTTTAATGTTTCTAAAAATATTTTTTTAAGAATTAATACTTATCAAATATGTATAAAAGTTAAAAGTTAACCAATAATATTTAATTAACTTTGAAGTTTAGTTAAGATTATAAAATCTTTTTAAAAGAAAAACAGTATTCACAAGCCATGCAACCAAAATTCACAAAGTTTATTTTATGTTTTAAATTTATTAAAATTAAAAAAATGAACATAAACTAATGCATCGATATAGTACTTGAAGCTTTAATTTTTTTTTTAAAGATAAAAATATTATTATTTTGATTTATCTATGTCAATTGAAGTATTTGAAATAGTTTCACCAAGACATCCTTAGTCAATACTTAACCTTATCTCTCATAAACATTTTAAATTTTGCTTATAATAACAAATAAAAATACGATGCCATTATTTATACTCTAAATAAAATATACTTTCTTTATATATCATCGACATTAACAAAAAAATACAATAATATTTCTTTTCTTGAAAAAATATGCATTTAAGAAATCAATTTATTTGATTTAATTATCAAACAGTACATTAAATTTTAAATAAATATTTACACTTATTTGTGTGTCTTATAAATTTAATACTAATTGGTAATAAAATAATTTATTAATAAAATTTGATATTTAACAACATTTCTTAATGTCTGGATAGCATAAATAATATATTTTATTTTCAAAAATTATTAAAGAATATAACATTTCGTTTTATCTTTACAACACACACACTGGATGACTTAAGAATATCACTTTTTTCCTTATTCAATTATCCTGATCAATTGTCTTTAATTCTATAGCTTAATTTATATATATATATATATATATATATATATATATATATATTTATTTATCAAACATTAATTTTTATAAGTATTTAATTATACAGCCAGTGTTAACTCATGTAACATCTTAAAGCATTAGAATCAAAGAGTAGAAAATAACTTATCTTCAATCATCCCATGCTAAGAATAATTTAGATTAAAATTCTTTAAAAATTAATTAGTGTATGTTATATATATTTGTGAAATATATGAAAAGGAATTATTATTTTTTACGTATAATACTTAACACAAACAATGAAAATGATTAGTAGTTATTATTAAACAATGTTGTTAAATCATATAAAGCTATTTGTCATTACATAAACATAAGCTGATACTTTTTATTATTGTCCGTATAGAATAATAATGCTTTTATTTTATAGTTTAATGTATATTTTATCACATACATAAGCATTAGTTTAGATCACATAACACGATGAACCAATAAAATAAAATAAAATCGCATAACTTGAATTAATCTTTTTATGACGTTGACTTAATTTCACATCCTTGAAACTTATAGCATATATTCACACTATTTTAACATAATATTTGAAAATTATATATACTTTTCCAAACTTCTTGAAATATAGTATATTTTCTTAGAATAAAATAATATTTGAATTTTTTTTTTTTGCTATTTCTTAATATTTGATTTTATTCTTGTATTTTACTTTCTTCACATGATAATATATAATAATAAACAGTTTTTCATAGTTTTATCTTATAAGCAATCCTTACAAATCTTAACTAGTTTTCTAAAAACACTAAAGAACAAAAATACGCACACACATTTGTCTGTTATTCGGATTAGCTAAAAAATATATTATTTTAATAATTAATTATTCATATATTTTATTATAGAGATAATTAATCATATAAAGTAAATTTAAAATTTGAATTGTTAAGTGAAAAGTGATTTAGAATAATTTATTCTGTTTTGATTATATAAAATATTATTTTTTATAGTTAAATTAAAAGAATTTATAGAGAGATAAATGTAGCAGATAGTTTTATGTTTGAAATAATTAATTATTAAAGACGAAATAAAAAAATAATATGATAAATAAATTGGTTGTTTTTAGTTATAAATTTTAAAACATTTACTTATTTTGAAATAAACGTTTTTATATAAAAAATTATAAACTAAACTAAACTTGTAAAAATTGTTCAAATAATAATTCAAAACAATCGATTCCAATCACACTAAGTTATCAAACAAGAATAATTCCTTTTCTCCATCAAAGGATGAATTACATTTGCTCCGAAAAATAAAACACTACTACCGATTGCTTGGTACTAATCATTAATTTAATCATATAAGATTTATTTTATAAGAATAGGATACGATCTTTTAAGAGATAGAGGGCACAAGATTTTTCATTAAACGATGCCTTAATTCAACTATAAAAGCTTTTGTTAAGATTAAACGAAAACAAGTGTGAGATCAACATAAATGATGGATAAATAAATCTCTAAAACTTTAAATGAATATTTGTAACGTGTGTTTGATAATGTCATTTATTAAAAAATTAATAGAATAAAATTTTATTGAAAAATATAACTTAATATTATCAATATTCATGACTTTTAATAAAAAATTATCAGACATAAATTTTTATTATGTTGTTTTAAACATTTAAAAAAATTAAAACATAAATATATTGTGTTATAAAAATAACATTGAAATAAATAAAATTTACTTTGACACTTTGTTATGTTTAAAAAACTCCATAGCTTTTGGTTAGGAATAATTTGAGGTAAAAGGTCTTACTAGCCCCTATTGTTTTTGTCAAATTGTTTTCCAAACGTTGTTTGCTGTTCTCTAGTGTTAAAAACGTGCGTAGAAGGTTGAGAGAGAAGAGAGAGAGAGAGAGAGAGAAGAGAAGAGAAGAGAAGTAGAGTCCCAAACAAGTCTCGTAGCTGAGAGTTGAGGATCGGAATTGTGCCACCGTTTTCTTCATCATCTCACCCTCTTCCCTCAGCTACAACCATAACATCGTACGTTACCATTCCATTCTCTCTCTCTATTATACCTTGTTCTCCTCGAATTCACATTTGAAAAAAAAAAAAACATTTTTTTCCGAAGATTCGTTGTTTTCCTCTTGCAATTGCTTTAGCGTCTTCCATCAGCCTTCGATTCTGTGCCTTGAAACCCATTCAATTTGGCTCTCTCTGCGAAATTCCTTTCTGGGTTTTGTATCGCGTTGGTTTTTATGCATTTTTTTGCTTTGGAATTTACGAGGTTGATGCGTAGTTTCATGCTACTTATTCATTATATTTGAAGCCTTGAAATTTCAACACGTGTTATGATATCATTGATTCTGGGCATCGATTTCTTGTTTGTACAATGTATTTCGCTTATATTTAAGATGGTTTATGTAGATTTGGGATACTTCACTTTGCATCAAACCCGTGCACATGCAGAATGCAAAGTCTGATTTGAATCACTTTTACCAGTTAACCCAACTTGTGTTAGCAGTTTCCCCTCATTTAATCTTTACCATCCCTTTATGTATTTGTAGAAGTGAAAAAAATGCAGATATCATGTCTTTTTAGGGTAGCTAACCATATGTTATCTTATGAAAAGCTGATTTTTTTTGTTCTTAGATGTATCTTCCAACTCTTAGATTGTTAATGAATAATAATGGGCATTTTTTTTCTGAAGGATTTCAGGTATTTATTTCATTATTTACCTTTTGACTGGCAGATATTGGCAATTTGGCACAAACTTAGTTTGCTTCTATGAGCCAAATCTTGTGTTTTCTTCAGCTTCATAATGGTATTGAAGAGTTTCTGTGAGAGGATTGTTGCTGCAAAATGCTCGTCTAAAAGTTCAACCGAGATTATAGATAATACTCAGGTGCCTGCTTGTTCAAAAGCAGGGTCTAGTGACAGTAAGTTTCCCAAGGCTTCCTTATGGTCAAGTGTCCTTACATCTGGCTTTTCAGTGGTTGAAACATATAGTGAATCATCGGCTTCTGAAAAGAAAGTAGTTCATTCTCGAAGTAGTGGGTGGGCAGCTGCTGTGAGGAAAGTTGTTGCCAGTGGCTCAATGAGGAGATTTCAAGAACGTGTACTAGGGTCAAGCAGGACTGACATTTCAAGCTCTGATGGTGATATATGGCTTCTGGGTGTCTGTCATAATATTTCTCAGCATGAATCAACTGGAGGTGTAGATACAAGTAATGGTTTGGCAGCATTTGAGCACGATTTTTCCTCAAAAATCCTAGTTACATATCGGAAAGGTCTGTAGTGTTGAATGTATGCTGCCTTTTTGGAGATGTATTCAGACTATAGATATTGGTCTAACAAATTTAATTTACATACTCTATAGGCTTTGACGCTATTGGAGATTCAAAGTATACTAGTGATGTTAATTGGGGTTGTATGCTTCGAAGCAGTCAGATGCTTGTTGCTCAGGTACTATGCCTTCTATTTGACGGTTGCTTTTGAGTTTTGACCGTATGGTACCTTATACTTTTATTTTGTCGTTTGTCCTATTTTTGTTTCCTTTCATAATAAAGCTATTAATTTGGCTTCCTCATGTACAGGCATTACTTTTTCATAAATTAGGCAGATCATGGAGAAAACCTATTGACAAGGTCAGGTGATTGAAATGCAATGCGTTGTTTCAGTTATTACACTGTTTTTTCCCCCCTATATTTCTGTTTGTTCTATTTCTTGTCTTTACATCTTTGTATGTCTTGCTTTGTCTTGAGATATAATGACACTGGGTTGACTCATTGTTACATTTCTATGATTTACAGCCATTAGATAAAGAATATATTGACATCTTGCAACGTTTTGGTGATTCGGAGGTTTCTGCTTTTTCTATCCACAATCTTCTTCAAGCTGGTAAAGGTTATGGCCTTGCTGTTGGGTCATGGGTGGGACCATATGCTATGTGTCGCACATGGGAAGTTTTAGCCCGTAACCAGAGGGAGACAAATGACCTTGCAGAACCAGCACTTCCAATGGCTATTTATGTTGTTTCTGGAGATGAAGATGGGGAGCGTGGTGGAGCACCAGTTGTCTGCATTGAAGATGCCTCCAAACTCTGTTCTGAGTTTTCAAGGGGCCTTGCTGCTTGGACACCACTACTTTTATTGGTTCCTTTGGTTCTTGGACTTGATAAAGTCAATCCAAGGTGTGTAACATTTTCAAGGTTCTTTGATATTATGTAATTAGTTCACAGTTGAGCCTATTAGTATTATTATGCTTGTTAAATAGAAATGGCCCCTACAACCTGCGTATTTGGATTCTCTTACAAATTATATTAGTGGCAATCCATAAAGAAAATTTCCTGTTATGGACATTAATTGTGTAAAACTTGTATGTTGTAAACTGGCCTTGGAAAAAACCTCTTTGGCTCAAACTTCAAGATATCTGCATAACGATGTAACACAATGGTTGGTTTCTCGATTTCTCTATCCTTATCTAATGATTTAGTAGGAATAATTAGGTGTAGTAGGTAATAAAGTTTTTAAAATATTAATTTAAAAGTTGTTCAATTTTTGGTGTAGCGAAATCACTGACTAGTTGCATCTACACATTATTATCAGGTATATTCCATTATTGCACTCAACTTTTAAATTTCCCCAAAGCCTTGGCATCATGGGTGGCAAACCAGGTGCTTCAACGTACATTATTGGTGTCCAGAATGAAAAGGCATTCTACCTTGATCCACATGATGTTCAGCCGGTATGAAAATATCTGCAAATCTATTGCTACTTACTCTCCATATAACATACATACTTTTGAGATTGTGAATTTTGTAGTCATATTGATTATATAATAATTTGTTGAATGTATAATTTATATGCATGCTATGCCCCATTTTGATTTCATGATGTATAAAATTGAACATCATAAATCTTCAATTGGTCAGCAAAGCTACTCTTTCAAAGGAAACAGAGGAGTCAAAAGAATAACTAAGAAATATTATGGTTTTGTTCTCAAACATGTGATTGAAACATGATTTGGTAAAAGTATATTGACAGAATTTGCAAGATTTTATTGATGAAATCAAAACAAATGTTTGTTCAGATTCTTTTAGGATTGCTATGCTGAAAATCATAGTAATGTAATATTCATTCTCTAAAGCTTTGAATATAAGACCGATCAACTATGCCATCGGAAATGGCAAACAACTTGTTAGGTGTTTCTCATCATAAATGAAACTGGATTAGCATTTGTTTCCTTTGCACAATCTTTTACGATAATATTTTTGGCTTTGTGTGGGGATAAAGCACAATGAATCAGAATGGAATGGTTTCCATTGATCACTTGTTCTTGTTATGAACTGAAGGTAACAAGAGTTCATATGACTTAGGCAAGAAACATTTTCTGGCTATTAATATGTAGTTTGGATTCAATCTGATTTTGATAAGATGTTGCAACAGATTTGGTTGCTTTATTTTATGGAACCCTGGGCTGTGAGACTTTTCAATACTTTGAGTTGCTAGTTACTACCTGCCATTAATGTCAATGTGGTTTTATTTTTTTTAACTTAACATTTATCATTATTTCTGCATTATGGCTTCAACCTTAAATAATACTTTTTGATTGATTAATGTGACTCAAATTGTGGGAAAGTACAACCTTGTTTGTTGATTTCTATGATAAATCTGATCTTAAACCTGTAGACATCTTAGACAATTCCACTAGCTATGATCTGTAACATGGATCAACCTATGTAGTTAGGGTTACCAACAGATTTTCAGTAAAAGAAATTAGATCCAGGTCTTTTTTAAGAGTTACTTCTAAAGTTTCTAATGTTTTCCATCCTTTAATTAGACTACCTTCCACTTTATCTACCTTCTGTTCTGGAGCCTCTATTAATCTTCTCACATGACCCAATCACCATAGGGTTGTTTCTTTCATCTTCTTGATATGTGCTTCTCAAGCTCTCCCTGAGATACATTCATTCTTAATCTTAACTTTTCTTCTATGTCAACTCATCCACTTTAGCATACTTATCTTTGCTGCACTTAATTTGTTTTAGGGTCCTGCTAAATTAGTTTTCCTAGGGCATTGGTTTAGAAGCTAATACAATTTACCAAAAAATGCTTTCAGTTGTTTGAAAAAGCAGTTATTATTTTTGGTGTGTTTTTAATGCCTTCAAGAAACTTTTGAGCATTTGTCTTTTAATTCTTGTCAGCACGTCCTCAGCATTGACTACCACAGAACATCATTTCTCTTATAACTGTAAAGTAGAATTATCTTTATGTATGCAAACACATGTATTTAAATTTTGAAAGCAATGGCCTTCCTGACATGTTTTGCAGGATTATAAATTTATAATCATGCATGGTTGGTTAGTTATTTTGCCAAATCATTATTTTAAATTCTTAAATGGATAGCCAACAAGGGGTATCAAATTTGAGGTTACAGATTGTTGACAATAATGCAGGAATAGTCTAATAAAATTCTGTTGATGCTAAGTATATGTGCATATTTGGAGATCACCAGAGCTTGAGATGATTTTTGGTGTATATGGGAAAACATCAAATATAAGGCAATCTTTAAGCACCAAATAAATAAATAAATTAAACTGCTACTTGCTAAAAGGAATGAAAAGAAAATGGCACAAAACAGAACAAGTGAAAAATAAAGAAGAAAATGGATGGCTCAATGATTACCTAATAGTTGGAAGGAATGAAATCCCATTTGGTTCTCTTGCTGTTTATGCATAACTTCAATCATACAGTGTTTGGGCTGTTATGGGGTTGGCGAAACATTTATAGCTCACTAAGTATGTCTTAAATGGCTTTCAGGTTGTTAATATCAGTGGGGATACTCGAGAGCCTAATAGTACTTCATCATACCATTGCAAGTAGGCTTTCTACCAATATTGGTTTTATTTTATATTGTCAACTATAGCTCGTTCATTCTTGGTTGTTTTAACATTTTACATCTCTTACCAGTGTTATCAGGCACATGCTCCTAGATTCAATTGACCCATCCTTGGCTATTGGATTTTACTGCCGAGACAAAGGTTTGCTAATTACTTTGGCTTAATTTCACAAGTTCAATAATTGTGGCTGATATCTAAAGTTCAATAATTTCACAATTTGATGACACTCTTCACCTTGTCAATGGTGGCTGGCAGATGATTTTGATGATTTCTGCTCTCGAGCCTCCAAGCTTGCAGAAGAATCAAATGGCGCACCGATATTCACTGTAGCTCAGTCACGAAGTTTCGCAATGCAAGTCAGTAGTAATGATGTGTCAGGTGACAACACTGGATTCCAAGAGGATGAGTCCCTTGTCAATGATACAGGAACTAATGAGGATGATTGGCAACTCTTATAATTGCCAGACTAAAGTTCACAGTAAAAAAATTGTTCCTTCATTCTCATGAGCCTAAATGCCACTACAAATTTGGTTGATGCTTGGCTTGGGACCCCTACCCTTCAAAAATTTGTTTAATAGGCTTGTAGAAAGTAATTTAAACTCATTATGATTCTTTGGCTTAAACCATTTGCTCATTTGTTCATATAGCTAACCCGGTATTTGTTGTACATTACACGGCTAGTTGGTTCATATTTGTTGCCTGTACCCTTTATTGGCTACAAAAATGTAGTGGATAATAATGTGGACTATCAAATAAATGGTGTAAAGTAGTTCATGTTGAGATGGAATGCTTTCTTAAAATTGACATACTATAAACTAATCACTTGAGTCCCCTTTGATATAAAATATGTGTAAAGTTTTTGATATGTTGCAGTGTTGTTGGATTGGTGAGTCATGTGAATGATGACATTCCCATGTCAATACTGCTATTATCTTCATGTGTTCTACTTTGAATAATAAAACCAATGTTAAGTTGGCAAGTTAGACATCACTTTCGTTAGTGACCTCAATGTATATAAACCATGATGAACGGGGTTTGACATGAAAATACAGTTAGGGATTACTTCCCCCTTCGATTTTTTGAGGCTAAATGGGTCCAAAAGTCAGGATAACGATTTGACATTCAACCGAATTGAAGAATTTTATGTCAACAAAAAATAATGGTTCAGTTGTAATGACCTAAATATATATTTTCTCAAATTTATTTTTATTGAACTTTAATTTTTGTGTAATATCACGGTAAAAAAAATTATATTGTCAATCAAAATATATCAGATATTTTTTTACATTGATTATTATAAAACTTATTTTTATATATATAATAATCATGAATGGATGATAAATTATTCTTATTATTAATAAACTTACTAAAAATAACAAAATTATGTAAGTCTTCCTCTTTATTTAAGAAATTTTATTTATGATTTTACAATTTTTAACTGCGTTAAAAAGAGTTTGTAAGAGAACTTATTCCCAATAATCTTTTACCTCAAAGATTGCTCCTACCTGTACCTTGAATTTGATATCGAAAAATCAAAGTTCTAAGTAACGTTTTAAGGATTTTTTTAAAAAAGAATATATGTACAATTATTTAAATAGTTTATGATTCTCATATTTTTTTTAACTTATGTCAATAGATTTTATGACTAAATTTATGGTATAAATTATCATTTTAAACAATATATATTTAATAAATATTTAATTAAGTTGTGTATTTAAATACACTTTTACTTTGAATTATTCTTAAGTTATAGGCTGAAATTTTGGCATAACTGAATATCTTACTTTATAAAAACCAAATTTTAATTTATGTAATTATTTTTTATAAGCATGAGTCATTTTATTTATTGAAAAAGTGATGTTGGATAATGACTCATCAAATAAAAAAATATAAAAGACCATATTTGTTAGTTTTTTCTTTCAAATTCTAAATATTATGTTTGATTTATATATTTATCTCTATTGTTCGTAGTGTTTTGCTTGTTATAATGGAAATAATTAAGAAAGAAAACGTTATTTTTATATCTTTTATTGTTTAGAATACTCAAAAAATAAAATAAAAAAAATGTAAAACACACATATACTATTTTCTCTCCATAAATTATTTTTCTCCTATTTACTCTCTAAAATTATATATTTTTTGTTTAATTAAAAATAGTTTTCTAGTTAGTGATACAGATGTTCTTTTCATTTCCTCTTTGGTATCGTAATTCTCAAATCAAACAGCGCTTAAATTTTCTAACTGAAACTAGCGACACTCCGACAAGCATATAGCTACTAACTTGTCTTTCTTTCGGAGTATTCTCACTTATCATCAAGGACAAGGTACGAGATTCTCTTTTCAGATCTCATTTCCCCACTCACTCCTCACTAATGCTTTTGAAAATTCTCCCATTGTGATGTAGCTCAACACATTGTTACTTTCCTTCTCTGCAAAATGGATCCCTCCGCGTTGCTGTATAGCCACCTCAAGGTTCGTCATTTGTCTCTGTTCATGAGTCTCCAGACATTGAATTTTTGTGGGTCATGGTTGATTTTTTTTTTTTTTTTAATTTCTCTGATGGGTTGTGTTTCTTTGAATCTCACCAGGGTGCAGACCCGTTCTTCTTGCTAGCGGGTCCTAATGTGATTGAATCAGAGGAACACATTCTACGGATGGCTAAGCACATCAAGGGTATTGCATCTAAGTATGTAATTATCTCTATTTATGACCAATGCTTTTGTTTTAGTATTATTATTGTTAATGGGAAACTAAATGAGATTTAATGGGAATTCGTGAGAGAACTTTTACCATAGGCAGGATGAGTTTTCAAACAATCATTAATTGTTGATTTTACTTGATCACTCACCTTAGGTATTTGATACTCGAGAAAAAAGGTGGGTTTTAATTCTGTGAAGATAAACCTTTAGAGTTTTTAATTGTGGTCCACTCTCTGTATGGAAGTGTTTTTACACCTATCATCATTCATAAAGTATGACTATGATATCAAATTCTTTTAGGAACATGACAAGCACATGGTTGTGTGATAGTGTAAATAAAATGGTCAGTAGTACGCATGATATTGGTTTTATGTTTGTTGATAGCTAACATGATCTTGAATGTATATATCTTTCAGAGTTGGAATACCATTGGTTTTCAAGTCGAGCTTTGACAAAGCTAACCGAACATCATCAAAGTCATTCCGTGGCCCAGGGATGATTGAGGGATTGAAGGTTCGTATTTCTACTCATTCTTGTCATAACATCTCTTCCCGGTTTGGATCTTCAGGATTCTAGTTGTTATGATTATCTGGCAATATGTGGCTATACTACAGTATGTGATTTTCACGAATTCAGTTACATTACATGTAGCTCAACCCTAAAAACTAACACCAGGGGGGAGGTGATTTCCCAAGTCATTATATGGGGTGCTTTGGCTATATACCTTGTTAATGTGAGATCTTAACATTGTGTGATGTTATTTCTGGCTCCATCTATCCCTGGAGATTTTGGAGTTAAATGTTGTCAGAGGTAGCATCTGTACTGCATAGCGCAGGATCTGAAGAAATCTCATCTATCTAGGCCTCTTGTAAGGATTTGCTAGATTGTGCATTAGTCATGCTTCTATGGGTCAAATGTCACCTCTTGCAGTCTTGCCCAATTATCTAGCCAAAGGAAAAAGATACTATGCAGTATGCAAATACTAGTAAAATTTCAATTCATCTATGTAATATGTGGAAATTGCAACATAAGTCTTGTAAAATACATATAGTATGTTATTTTGACTTGTAAATAACTTAATAACAATGTTTAGTTATTTCTAAATCAGAGTTTTGTACTGGATGAAGCTATTTTTCTTATTTGAAAGTTTTACTTCTTTAATTTTGTTGTTTTCTTCTCAGATACTTGAGAAGGCTAAAATAGCCTATGACATCCCTATTGTGACAGATGTGCATGAGAGCAATCAGGTAAAATTATGTCACTTTTCCAGTTTTCCTAAATATAAGCTTGTTTGTTTCATATTTATCTTTGTCTGTTTGGTTGTGTTGTATCGATTTTGCATTTCACTGTGTTGTTGCCCGGGTCAAGGCTCCTATACAGTAGGAACAATATTGGCATACCAACCAAACTAGTTTAATCTTAATTATATGTTGTTCTGAAGGGATGTCATAACATGCTTGTCAATCAAAAGAAGAAAATAAAGGTTTCTTTAATCGATGCTCAAACAAGTGGAAATGCTATTTAGTTAATATTAACATCATGAAATAGTTGATACCTAGATTAAATTCTTACATGTGCAGATGTGCTTTCTTCTCATGCATGTGGGTAGATGACAAAAGGAATCAGTTTTTGTAGGAATGGTAACTTGAAAAACATTTTGTTTGGATCTTTCATTTGTATGAAACTATATCTCATAAATCCTAGCTTGGCTCTCTTATTATCATTGATAGTTTCCTTAACAATTGGACGTATCCATCTAAATTTTGAAATTTAGAATAGTTAATTCTTTTTATTGATATTTGTAATATATTATCATATTATAACAACACAAAACCTTATCCAATTCGGTAAGGTCAACTATATGGATTACACAGTGTTATTAAATTCTTTGAGATATTATTTATCACGAGATATTTTTTAATAATTTATTTTATGATTTTTTAGCACTCCTTTTACTCTTTTTAATCGAAATAAGTCATATATGTTCACTTTTTTCATTGATGTATCCCATGATCTTCTTTACATGTTTTCAAATTACCTTAATTGATTTTGTGCAGTCTTTTCTTCAATAGATGCTATTGTAATATTTTTTTGTATACAATTATTTCTTATCTTATCATTACTTATGTGATCATCCATGCGAATGCAGTGTTGTATTGATATTTCAGATTCTGACTCTTGATCTGCCTTTGACACATTTATCTTTCTTTTGCTAGTGTGAAGCAGTTGGCAGAGTTGCAGATATCATTCAGATTCCAGCTTTCTTGTGTCGCCAAGTAATTGTTTATTGCAATCAATTTCAATATCCATCATAATTGACTGGCTATTAATTGTAATAGACGTGCCACATCAATTGTTTCATTCATTTTTCTCCTAATGACAGACAGATCTTCTAGTTGAAGCTGCCAAAACTGGGAAAATAGTCCACATCAAGAAGGGCCAGTTCTGTGCTCCTTCTGTTAGTACATTATCCAAATTTGAGTTACAATTTCAATCATTGACAGTGACTTAAGCTTCAGAATTAACAGTCGCTGATCTTTACCATTATTCATATGTTTCATAGTTTCATGTTTATAGGTGATGACAAATTCAGCTGAAAAGGTCCGGTTAGCTGGAAATCCTAATGTGATGGTTTGTGAAAGAGGAACTATGTTTGGATACAGTGAGTTAATAACATCTATTTTGATATTTTCTGTGTGTTTTTGAATTATGTGATTCTTGTAAGAACCATTCAATATTAGTAATTGCTTTATGTGGAACAAATTATAGTTTTTTCTTTTTATTTGCAGTATTTCATTTTCTGTAGCATTTTGCTGTGGTGCAAGATGCGATTTAACTAACAAAATGGCATATGATATGATGCTAATTATTTCTTGTGGCCACCTGTTGTAATTTCATTCTAGTCTTTTCTTCTTTTCACTTATCAAATTTAAATTTAAAGATAAAATCCCAATTTTATTTTAAAAATTTGTTACTCACTCTCTTGTCCTCTCCTTTTAATCAGAGTATTTAACGTGTATTTTAGGTTTGACTTTGCCTTGAAAAAGTGAGCATTGAATTCAATTTCTCTTTTTTTGAAAACTTAGAATTGACTACCTATTTTCCTTTTTCTTATAGATGATTTGATTGTTGATCCACGTAACCTAGAGTGGATGAGAGAAGCCAATTGTCCCATTGTAAGTAAATATTTCTTCTACAATATGCTTGAAGATAAACTATTTGAATGTTTTATCCTTTCTTATTGTTAAAATGTCCACATTAGCTAGAATTAGAGTCAGAATACTCATTATAAGGGTTAAGGTAGTCCTTATCTTATGAGTTAATTTTTGGGAGTGAGTTAAGTCTTAAGAGAGTGAAAGGAGAAATCCTTGTGAAGGGGAAACCCTTGGAGCAGATATCTCTCTCCTATTTTCTATTTTTCCATTCAATAAAGTTCTGTTTCTTAATTTAATTCTTCTTTTTCTCTATTTTCCATTTTATTTTCTCTGGGTTCCTAACGTCTTGATGTCATTGTCCTAACCATTTATTTGATGAATGTACCACTGTTGATTAAATGGGATGAATCCCTGTGAACACAATCAGACTTGATAAACACCTTTTGATATGGTAAAATTTGTTTAATTCTTTACTCTATAGGGAATTTTCTCTCATAAGGTCACATCTCACTCTTCTCTGACTTACTGACTTAGGAGAGGGCGGATTCCATTGTCTCTGAAAATGTTTTTCTTGACCTGAATATATTACCCAACTCAAGTGTTGATGTACAGATGACTGTTGTATATAATATTTTGTAATATCCCTTGAAGGTCAGAACAAGAATATTTTTACTTTGCATTAATATGCAATAAATTGATTCTTATGTGTTTGAGAGGACATTTTTCATTTTTGTTGGCCTTCCAGTCAATAAATATATAACATTTCTCTTATTGTGACCCTAAATTAATATAATAGTTATTTACTCAATTTCTGAAACAATTAAGAAACAAATTAGAGCGCATGCGTGTATTTAACTTCTTATAAGAATGAGACTGAACTTCATTCTATATGCCCTTATTATAAAGAATTGTTTTTCTAAGTGGCTTTTTAGCATTGATTTAAATTTTTTCATGGTGACATTTCTTGCCGCTATCTCTATATGCTGTTTATTTTCTGGAAAACTCAAATATTTGAATTTGAGTATGGTGTTGCATCAGGTAGCTGATATCACACACTCACTACAACAGCCTGCTGGAAAGAAGGTGTGTTTAGCATTGTTTATTTCCATCTTTGTTTGATACTAATATGGTTTTGCTGCATCCTTTTTGTGTTCTGAACTGTATATTTCATGTGACACTATTTTAGCCTGTGATGCTTTTAAAAATCACAAAATAATGGATGCAATAAACCTCTAGTGCTGACGTGTTGGTGTTGACAATATCTGTTAGAATATTGGCATTCTCAGTCTCAGTAACATGACCTAGATTATTAGTATAAGTGGGATTCTTACTGGTTTATATTTTACAACATATCACATCAATCTTCAACCATTGACAATTCTTTTCTCCCTTTCTTTTTCACATCTTTCCCCCTTACTTTCAAGTTTCAACAACCTCAAATTTTATGTTTGCATTGGACATGTCATTCCATGTGAATACATCATAGGTCATAGGTCATAGTGTCACTGGTTTAATTTCCCTGGAACAATTCCCGATCATAGTTTTGTTTTCAAATTTGACTTCAAACATTCATGTGTGGCTTTAATGCTTTGCTGTTTGTGAGGACTTCAGAATCCTTGAGTATTGTATTTTTCATTGTGTTTGTATTTGTTGTATAAACCTTTTTCTATGCTAAACTCCATTAAAATCTTCTTGTATTTTTTCTTCTCTTTAATTGGAGTATCACATGATCTTTATTCTTTATAGATATATATTTACTTCTGAACCCTACTATCAGATCTGACTTCTATACTTACAGCTTTTAAATAGCTTTCTGAAATGAACTTTTCAAATTTTACATCTGCTTTCATGTATAGTTGGATGGGGGAGGTGTTGCAAGTGGAGGTCTTCGAGAACTAATACCTTGCATTGCAAGAACAGCAGTTGCTGTTGGAGTCGATGGGATCTTCATGGAGGTACAGAGAATAACTGATGTCAGTTATATTTTACTAGTGTTATTATACAAGAAAGTAATTCAAAGTATAATTTCGTAAGTGTGATTCCAAGAGCTTACATTCAAAGGGTATCTTTATCTATTTATTTTCTCTATCAGTGAACTTCTAAAAGCTTTTTTGGATTTTCAGGTGCATGATGATCCATTGAATGCACCTGTTGATGGTCCGACACAGTGGGTAAGTTGTTGCTTATCATAGTTATTCATACTAATAAACACTATTTCTTCAAGGTTTGTTTTTCTTTGGATGTTCCCTATATTTTTTTTGTCAAATAGGGGATTTAATGACCTATATACCAAATCCTCTTATTTGACAGCCTCTGCGCCACTTGGAGGAGCTACTTGAAGAGCTTGTAGCCATTGCTGTAAGTTGTTTCTTTAAATTTATGATTCTAAGTTGCATAACATGTTCTTTAAATAGGCTAATTGAACTAGTCTTCATCCCTCTGGGCCCAGGGTATACTAAGTTCTCTGAGTAATAGTATTTACATTTTTATAGTTTTGAATTGCTTTGTAGTTTGGAACCTAAATATTTTTTATCAACTCAAATTTGATACGTTGTAGAGGGTAAGCAAAGGGAAGCAACGATTCAACATTGATCTAACACCATTTCGTGAGTAAAAAGAAATGGTAAGGAATGCTTCATATTTCCACTTTATATCATATATGTTTTTGTTTCTCCAGCTAGCTTAAGATTCCTTTTTCTTTGTTGATATTTGACTAAAATAATATTAGAACGTGTAATGATATGCACTCATTAGTAAAGACTAGTAATCAGAATTGAGCATTGAAGTTTATCAGCTATGATCTTACTCACAAATTGCTTAAAAAGTCATTTAAGTAATCCTTAAACTTTGATTAAACATTGACCAATCACTAAATTGTAATTAACCTTGATGCAAGCATCCAAGCAAGGTTTAAATAAGCAGAAACTTCTAATGAAAAACACGAGGAGGAATGCTACAGACTAATAAGTTTAGAACTAGGTAAAACAGCCATGTAGTGGCTTTATTCAATTGTGACTTAGTTAAATCAGAAGTGCTTTACTATCTTAAAGCATAAACGCATCCACATTTTTTTAATCTAAACTTTGTTTGCAGGTAATGGTTCTCAATTATTCTGAGTATAATTCCGTAAGCATTGGCCTTTTTAAGATTGTCCAAGTTTGAATGCAAAACTGTCTTCATTTCCTCGCACAAGTTCAAGTGCCTTCTAAGGAGTTTATCTTAAAACTATTATTTGATGATGATCCATACTTGTTTCTACTAAGTGGTGACACCACCGACTGATGTTTGTCACATACTGTGTAGCTTTAATTTTACAAATTACTAAAGTTGAGGCAATTAATTAAATGTCACATTATAGGTACATTATTGATTAACAATGTTAATTATTAGCTAATTTAATTTGGTACTTGATTAATTAATACACGAATTAAAATGAAAAGCCTCTTTGTAGGCCAACATTTTGTGTCATTTCTCCCAAGTACCCTTCCAGAACTTGTTCGAGTCTTTTTCTATAATATATAGATAGATACCAATTTCCATCTAAGTGATCTAACCATGGTGTTCTTTGGTTGTGGCTTGGCTCTATCGAGTTGCTTGTATTGATTTTCTTAGAGTATATTTGAGAGAAGATTTTTGGAGGAGAAAGGAAAGGAGGACTTAGTTTTTAATTTTATATTAAAAGAATTATATATTATTTAGGATGACAAATATATTATTAATACATTCAGTTTTTGTTATTATATTAATATATATCTTTTATTTTTAAAAATTATTAATTTTAAATATATTTATTTAAAATATAAAAATAAGTCTTCCCCTCTTTTTCTCTTTAAAAACTCTCTCCCAAAATACATCCTTAAGAATATTGTTTACTATTTACATAAAATATAATTTTATGAACATAATAAGTGAATGTTTCAAACTTATATATTTGGTTCATAGAAATGTTGTTTTAAAGAAAAAAGTATTAATATTAGTTAGTTCAAGTAAATAGTATTAAGCAGGAAACCAAAAGTCTATGAAAAAAAGTCTTAAATATGCATTAATATTTTCCAAAAAAATTCAAAAAGAATAAAATGCCATAAAAAGGTTATCACTTTTGTTATCTGTGGTGTGTATAAGAATATTAAATCACTTTTAAATAGAGGAGTGTTAGTAAATAATAATATACTTTCTTATTAATCCAAATGTATCAAGAATTATAAAATTATTAAAGAGATTCGTTGAACAAAGTGTAAGATTAATATTTTCTCTTTACATTTGGACCACAGGTATTTTTTAGTGAAAGCAATATTGACTGAGCTGGGAAGGAACACTATGAAGAGTAATATTTTTATTATTTTATAAGATTTAATAAAATTTAAATATTAAAAAAAATTTATTAATAATTTTTTTACCATAAAAGTTAAACCAAATCATGTTAATATTTTTTTAATATGAAAAGGTATTTGACTTTGTCTTTAATTTAAAAAAATCCAATCCAATAGTACGTGTTTTTTTTTTTTTTTATCTTTGGCTGAAAATTATAAACTTATAATTTTGTAAAGTTTTTTCTTACTTTGTGACAATAACTATATAGTTTTAAAATATTAAATATAATATATTAAATTATTTAAAATGTTAAAAATATAAAAATTGAATCTTTATTATGTCTTTAATATACGAAACACTCCATTTAACTAAGTAAAAAAATAATTATGTAAAATTAAAAATCAGCTTGGTTGATAAGTTATTGAATTTATTAAGTACGTTAATTAATGATTAATTTCTGATGCGTAAAAAGTAAAATCTGCTTAATCTTCATATTTTGAAAAAGATTAATCTCTTACTCCCTAAATTAAAAAAACTATTAAATATAGAAAAAAAATTTATAATAAAAAATTATGCCATACAAATTCGATAGATTTCAAAATTTAAAACTGAAAATTGATACAATGAAATAGGATTTTGGTCTGGTCAACGGTGGTTGTTGGTATGGAAGCACAATATTCCTTCTTTCCCTAATTAGAAATAGTGGTACCTTTTGTTCCTTTCAAGGGTTTTGCGTTCTCAATTGCTCCTATTTGATTCTCACGCTCTCTTTGGGACTTCTCCCTTTTCTTCTTCTCTTTGCCCAATTTTCCATCTGTTTTCATATTCGGCAATTGGGTTCACTTCCTATTTTTATTTCGACTTAGAACGAGACCTTTTGGACCCTTCTATCGTCTTCAGCTTAGGGTTTTTTTAGGGTTTTCTGATCCGCACCATCAAATTGAGTCTATTCTTTCTTCGATTCGGGTGAAGAAATCTTCGAACGATGCCTCCGAGAGTGGTGAAGAGAGGGGCTGCGGCAAAGAGAGCTACGAGGGGATCCTCAAAAACTGCACCTGAAAAACAACAGCAACAGCAGCACGAGCCTGAAGCTGCAGAAGTGGTTGCGGTGCATCATGAAGAAAATCCAGTTGTTGATGTTGGGGTGGAAGAGAAGCCCAATGATGTGAATCAATTGGCTCCAGAAGCTGGGACAGTGCCTAATGGATCGGCTGTGGTGGAAAGTGAGTCCGGTTTCCTTTTTATTTTTAATTTATACGATTTTTGTGGAATTTCTTCCTTTGGGTCTTAGGAGGCTGAGATTTGTGCGATATTATTTGTAATTTATTAGCGTTTGCTGCATGTTGTGGCTGTTGTGACATGGGGTGTGTCAAAAGTTCAAAATTTTACTTATGGTAGACTTTCAAAATTTATCATGTGAATTTGAGTTGTGTATTTGTTCTGTGTGGATATCATAATTTGATTAAGAAACAACTGGTGAAAGTATAGTTTGATATATAGCAAGGGAAGATATGGTTCCTTTTGTGGGAAGCAATTTTTATGATAGATCATGATTAAATTTGCTACCCATTATTGCTTCTTTTGTACTTTTTGGCAACTCTAGATGGAAGGGCATTTCATGGGATGGATGTGCGATGAAGGTGGGTTTTTAATTTTTTGCTCTAGTTCCTTTTCTGTCGTGTGTTAGTGTTATACGTCATGCAATGTTGGAAATAGTTTGGACCAAGAATGATAAGGATTGATTATGGAATATGGACTTCCAAATTTAATAATTGCTATGTTAGAAAAGTTAAGCGTGTTTTACCGGGATGATTAAATATTTATTTTTTGGCAGACAATGAAGGGGAGGTTAAGGAGTCCATAGATGAATATGAAAAAGATGAACACTTAGATTTGGAGGATAATTATCCTGAGTATGAACCTGAGGAGTATGGTGGTGTTGACTATGATGAGAAGGAAATTGAACAAGATGAAGGTGGTCAGGAAGTGGGAGATGATGTAGAGGAAGAACCTGAAGAGAATGTTGGTGAGGAAGAGGGTGATTCAGGGGATGAAGAAGTTGAATATGTTTATGAAGAAGTTGAGGATGACAATGATGATGAACATGAAAATGGTGGTGAGGAGTATGAGCATGAGCATGACAATGCACAGATGGCTGACGTGGAGGAAGCGGAACACCGTGAAGTTGTAAAGGAGAGGCAAAAGCGGAAGGAATTTGAAGTATTTATTGGGGGCCTAGATAAGGATGCTACTGAACATGATTTAAGGAAGGTTTTCAGTAAAGTTGGAGAGGTTACTGAAGTCAGGTTGATGATAAATCCCCAGACTAAAAGGAACAAGGGATTTGCTTTCTTGCGTTTTGAAACTGTTGAGCAAGCAAAAAGAGCCGTGGCAGAGCTAAAAAATCCAGTGGTAATCTTTGATCTTATCTTAGTTAGAGCAGGTTTAAAATTGCCAGTATATCAAATCATATGTTTTCATCACTGCAATTTCAGATTAATGGCAAACAATGTGGTGTTAGTCCCAGTCAGGACAGTGATACACTCTATTTAGGTAACATATGCAAGACTTGGAAAAAGGAAGCTGTAAGTTTTTTCTTGGTCTATTTCTTGCTACCTTAGAGGCCTGAGTTATGCTTGCTAGTATTCTTTCTTGCCACCTTCAAGGTCTGAGATTCTAACTGTTAATGCAACTTCTGGTGTCAGTTAAAGGAGAAATTGAAACGTTATGGAGTTGAAAATGTGGAGGATTTGACTTTAGTAGAAGATGATAACAATGAGGGAATGAACCGTGGATTTGCATTTTTGGAGTTTTCATCTCGCTCAGATGCTAAGGAAGCCTATAAGCGATTGCAAAAGAGAGATGTTGTGTTTGGAGTTGATAAGCCTGCAAAGGTTTCCTTTGCAGACTCCTTTATTGATCTGGGTGATGAAATTATGGCACAGGTATTTTCCTGAATTTGATTTCCTTGCTTTTGCCAAGGATCATTATTTAGAACCTGCAAAATTATGGTTCTTTGATCTTATCGAAGCATTTGAGCTACTTGTAAACACCTATGTTAGCTTCAAGCCAAACATCCATAGTGGTTCATTTTTTTTAGTAGACAGTATTTTTGGTGTTATGACTTTAGTTTTCTACTGATAATTTATTATATATAAAAGAGCAATGTGGATTTACCTGTTTGTTTGATTAATAAATTTCTACAATTTTAACCCAGCATACTATGGAGAGTAGGCAGGCAGAAACTTCAGTAGTTTCTAATATATGGATAAGCATACATTCTATCCCTGCCATAGTTATTGGCATTTAGCTGTTAATAACCTAATATTACCTTGTATTTACTGATGAATCATTATTTGTTTTTGGTGTATCTGATCCAGTGTATCTAAGTGCAGGTTAAAACTGTATTTATTGATTCACTACCTCCTTCGTGGGATGAGGATTATGTGCGGGATGTTCTTAAGAAATACGGAGATATTGAAAAAATTGAGCTCGCTAGGAACATGCCAGCTGCTCGGAGGAAGAATTATGGATTTGTTACATTTAGTACTCATGCTGCTGCTGTGGAATGCGCTGATAGCATTACCAGTGCAGGGTTAGGTGAAGGTGACAAAAAGGTCCGTTTGTCTTGGAAGTACATTGTACATTTGTTACAGCTAAATGTGGCATTTTTTAATTCTTACTGCTTATTTCAGGCAAAAGTTAGGGCTAGATTGTCACGGCCTCTTTCAAAACCTCCTCACCGTGGAAAACATGTTAATCATGGGGGCTTCCGTTCTGGCCGCAATTCTGGAAGTTTGGTAAGGCCTTCACAGCGTCGACCTGCACCACGTAGTCTTCCTGCCCATGTAGTGAGAGGAGTTGGAAGTCGTATTCCACCAGTTAGACCTGTTGGTGTGAGAAACAGACGTTCTGTCATGTCCATGCAAGAAAGAGCCAGGCCAGTGGCTCCTCCAGTTAGATCCTATGACAGGAGATTCACTGGTATGTGTTTTATATATATATATATATATTCAGACTTCTTGTTAGTCGTCTTCATGAATAATATACCATGATATTGTCTTGTTACTTGTTAGCTCCTGCATATCCAAAAAGTAGTGGGAAGAGAGATTATAGTCGACGTGAGGATCTACCTCCTCCGAGAAGTAGAGTTGCTGCAGATTATGGCTCTAGGGTGGCTTCTCAAAGGCACACATCTTATAGGGATTATCCAACCCGTGGCTCTGACTATTCTGAGGTGCATAGAAGTACATCTCGTGCTGCACCAAAGAGAGGTTATATTGATCATGGCTATGGCCAAAGATTTGAGAGGCCTCCTCCTCCTCCCCATCTAAGTTACCGTGAAGGACGCCCCCGTGATTATGACACTCTATCTGGCTCGAAACGTCCTTATGCTGCCATAGTGAGTATTAGTTCTAAATATTTATTTTAATGGTATTGTTTTAAATATCATTTTAATTCTCTTATTAATAAATGAATTTCCTTTTGCTATAATTTCTCATCAGGATGATGTTCCTCTACGGTATGATACTGGTACTCGCCAGTCAAGATCTCGTTTGGATTATGACTATGGAGGTAGTGCTTCACAGTATGGAGATGCTTATGGTGATAGGTTAGATTCATCCAAAGAAAGTTCTTGCAATCTCCTTGCCCCTATCCTGTTGTTCTTTTTTTAACTTAGTCCTTACATTTTGATTGGTAGACTTGGAAGATCTAGTCTTGGATATAGTGGCAGCAGAAGTTCTACTTCTAATCAAGACTTACATGGGACATATGGCAGTCGACAGGGCACGAGTTACAGCGGAGGTGGATATTGTTGTAGATAATCTTATATGTTATCTTGAACATCAAATATTATTTCCTTAGTGCTTACATCTTTTATGGTGTGTTGCATGTCAGGTTCATTTGGTTGTAGTGATGGTGGTATGTACTCATCAAGCTATGGTGGTGATTACATATCCCGTGGAAGTGATGTAATGTTACTGGCCTTTCTCAAGTGGAAGTAGTGTTTATATATGGCTATCTATGTGTAACATTCTTATATTTTATTGTGTTGGTGGTGTAGGTTGGTGGCCGTTCATATTCATCCATGTATTCTGGCAGGGGTGTGGCTGGTAGCAGCAGCAGTTATATGAGTGGTGGTGGATCTGGGTCTTATTATTGAGGTTAGTCTGCTAACTCTTTGCCATTGCATTTCGTGTGAAGTACATGTCGAAGCACCAAAATATGTTAATATCTTTCTGAGAGATTTCTCTATCCTCAAATGGCATCTCCAATATTTTTCCGTAAGGGATGGCTGGTGATGATTGCACACCTGGTCACTAGTGAATTTGTCTATGAACAGATCTAAATATAATAAAGAGGCTGCTGTAGGATGTGGACTTTGAAGCTTGTGCTCATAATGATGCCTACTGTTTGGAGACAAAGGAACATTGCTAAGTAATAGCATGGTTGGGAGTTTATCACAAATCAAGGGTTACGCCGATTCAAGTCTTCTATCAGTGGACATATTTTGAGTTCTTGACTTTGTGCTGTAAGTACTGAATTTGAAATGGAAAGAGAAGTGCTGAGCAAGTGATGTAATTAAACTTCATTTTATAAGGCTCCCATATGGGTGGGTAATGTGAAAGATCACTCCATATCCTGTTCATTTGGAAAGAAACAACACCCCAGATATTACTTTATGGTTAAGGATTATTGGATTTTTACCTGCTGTCAAAAAGTTGGTCTTTTTCCTCCCAACAGAGATATATTGCTACTCTTTGGATTGCTTATATTTTTGCCAGTGCCATGATCATGAACAAGAGTGAACTACCCAGCACTTTGTGGAGCTACCATTGGTAGTAGTAACATGAGCAACTACTTCAGCACTAAATAAAGGAAAGATCATGATATAGTAACATCCTAGGAAGCATGATGCACAGATAATTTGTGTTGCTGAAGTGTTTCTAACATGATATTTTGTACTGAGGGGGAGGGGGGGAGAGGGGGTGGGGGGGTTACAAGATGCAAACGGAGCATCACATCTTTTTCCTTAAGATTGTTTACTTGGTCCTCTCGGAAATTTTCTCTTTGTGATGCAATTGTTTTTGCACACTTCGATACTATCAAATTGCATTATGTCGGAAAACCATTTGTTCTATGCTATATCGTCGGAAAGTGCAACTTTACAGAATTGTAAAGTAGCTGAAATCGCTTAATATCATCTGTGACTAACAAGTTTTGAGTTTTGACAATTTTTGGAAGTTGGCACTTTAAGCCCAGGTTATACCCTGCTTGATTTAGCAGAACTCATGCCCCGATGGCAAACTGAACTAACCTAAATATCACTCCAGAAGTTTATTTTCATGGACTCCGACTCATGATATTCTTTGTTGTCCAGTTGGCTATTTAGTTTTTGACTCTCATACGATATTATCTGTCTTTGAGAAGAATACTATTTTAGTATTGATGTTTGGAGTCGTAGAAAGCACTGGGACTGATGCCTGGGAAATGAGAATGTTAGATTAATGACTCCCTTACACAAAGGCTTAGGATTTTATTTTTTTAACATTTTAACTGCCTGTCAAAATTGGTTCTTCAATACACTGCAGTTGCAGGTGTTGCCTCTCATCAAGTTATTTGGTAGTGTCAGGTTCTGCATTGCTTTTGTTGTTCAATCTGCCATAATGATTTGATTTTATGAATTTTGTAGATTCTTTCATGCATGTCGTTGTAATTCTAGGTAAAGTAGCAACACATATTTCCAATTCACAAATCTTATAATGTGGTTATATGCAACACTCGAGCGTTTGTTTCCAAGGTTATTTTGTAACTAGGGAATGAGGTTTTTCAAACGAATTCCTAGTCACATTTATTTTTACAAGACTGTTAAATTTTTACATGCTTGGTGACATACAACTCTTGATGATTATGTTTGGTTTTAATGAGATACAATGCATGGTTGGCTTTGTTCAATTGATATTTTGTAGTTAATGTTTGACGTAATTTGTGAAATGGTGTAGTATGTAAGAAAGGTCCATTTAATATACTGAAGGTTGATCTCATGTAACCCATTCAAGTGAATATTATACTGGAATGTGCGATGTAAAATTGATCCACAACTATTAAAAGTAAGCATGATCATTGAAATGTCCGTGTCTCTGTTACTCGTGTAAACTTTGTTTCATGAATAGGTTCGGTCTAGTGTTGTGTTTTCTAAGTGGTTCCTTCTTTTTTGGTATGTATCTTATGACTTAAGGTTAAATATTAAGTTCTTTGCAGTGTAGAGATCATCAATTCCTTCTTCGATATATAATCATCAATACCCTGGTATTAGAGGTGATAAAGTTTCGTATCCTAAACACGTATTTTTTTTCAGAACTTTGTTATTGCAAAAGTCACCATGGTTTGTTATAACTATTAATCGTACCTAGCCATTTTGTTACAGGATTAAATAATGTAAATAAATTGATTTTGGATTTTAATTTTGTTAATCGTCCTTAATTCAAAACGAGTAATTTTCTTTGAATAAGAAAACACTTATTTTTTGAAAAGCACTTATTTCCGTCTTGATTATCATTTCCACGAAGTTCATTTTGACAAGGTAATTCACCGTCTGATAATACGTAATACCGATGACCGTTCATTTTCAATGAATTGTGGAAGCATGATCCCATCTTTACGATTTGTGTCTCCTCGCGTCAAGCCATTTTCTTCCATTTAGTTTCAGACTTTTCCATGTTATTGTTGCATTTGCCACAGCCATTAACTGTCGCACAATTTACAACTTCTCATATAATCATCCAAACTAAGTGTTTTTGTAAATTAAATTGCATTAATTCAAATGCCTTTTATTTTAAATTTGAAATTCTTAAATGATCCGTCCAAATATAACTTTACAAGGTTAAATTTAGAAGCTCAGTTAACTCTCCTATTGGGGTAGCAATTATTATTTAAATGATTTTATTACTTCTTAAAATAGCTTGGAATTAAGAATTACCTTGGTATCATGTTTTTCATGGGTATCAATAACTTGATTAAAAGTTAATATTTATTCAACATAGTAAATTATTTTAAACATTTGTTGATAGAGTTAACACCAAGTAAATATTTCATAATTTGTTGAGGGTATCAATATATTGAAAGAAAGGGGTTTTGGATCACCTGTAGTTGGAAAAACAAATACCCATTTATAAAACAAAAATAAACACTATTTTAAAGCTTTTGAGTGGTTGGATGCCACTGCACACAATATAATTCAAATTTTAATTTTAAAGCGTAGATGATTAAGATAATAAAAGAAGATATAATTTCTATGAGAGATTTACAAGACTTCTAATTTAGCAGTTGGATTAGTAAAAATTAATATTTATGAGTTATTAAATAGAATAATTTTGATAAAAGTTATTTTTGCCGTAACTTGTTCATTTTTGGATTTTATGTCACATGTTAATGATCCATTTGTTGAGTCATAACTTACCACAATTAAACTAACAACAATAATCAAGAAATAAATAAAAAAATTACAATGTTCAAAGTGTAATTATTAATTCGGTTCGATTGGCGAATTAGAAACTAGTTAGGCCATGGGCCTTCATAGCTTTAAAAATTAGTTGACTAGAAGCCTGAAAAAAACTAGTCAAATTGATTAAAATATTTTTTAAAGAATATTTTACAAATGATATTTACATATAACTTGTTACTATTTTGTTATTTTTTATGATTTATTTTACAAAACATAGTATAATCTTTTATGTTAATTTTAAAATTTACTTAACTTGCTTTTTTAATTTATACCAATTTATTGCTCAATATATCATACAATACTAAAAATATACTTTATTATTTATTATTTTAATATGATAAGAATCAAATATAGAATCAAATATAGTACTTTCATCAATTCCATCGTCTGTCTATTTTATAACATCAATTCAAAGTTAAAATTGACTAAAACTTAAGAAATAAAAACATCTTCTTAACTATTGTTTCAAAACATATTAAAAAAAAAATCTCATATAAATTAATAACAATGTACATCAACAAAAATTCTTTAATAATGTGACATCATAGCATTCTCTATCTTAAAAGTTAAAAAAAAGGTATTGTTGGGAAACTTGCAGGGATGATGAATCTGCACGCAATGTGAGAGGGAAATAGTAAGGAGACAAAGAAGGGTCTGAAAAATAAGAAAAGAAAAAGACAAAAAAAGATGAAAGAGGTTAAAGGTGGGGAACGTGTCGTTACGTTTTGCGGTGGAAGCATCACCTTTGCCTTTGTTTTTGTTGCATTGCAATTTGGATTGAAAACTTCGTATTATGAAAAGCCGCCAAGGTGGTTGGTTCTTATCGTTGCTGTTCCTATGTTTTCCACAACATAAACGCAAAAAATTTATCAAAAAAATTTAAAAACAGAACGTTACCCATTTAGTATTTCTCTGTATCTGAAATGGGTCGTCGCCAAAACGACTCAGATTTCGGTCGTTTCGCGCTTTTCACGCTCTTCTTGATAGGCACAATATCATGCTCCACGGTCTATCTTTTCCTTACCGTGGTCTTCAGACCCAGCCCTGTACCCGTTTCTTCAATGGACAAAAATGGTGGTGTTGTTGTTGATGATGATTTGGGGGGTTCTGAAGAAGGACAATGTTGTAGAGGGATTGAGCATTTGGAGCTGTGGGGTGATGCTGTCAAATGGGGTTCTGAATTTAGGGTCAATTCCTCGGAGGATTGTTGCATGGCTTGTAAGAGAATGTGTGGTGGTGATGGAGGACCTTGTTTGTGTAATTCCTGGGTGTTTTGCGGAGATAGAGAGGCATGTGGACCTAGATTTGGTGAGGTATTGTTGCATTTCTGCATTTCTTTTATACTAGATTTGTCAAGTGATTTAGGACATTCAGCTGTTTTCTTGGAGATTTTGTTGAGAGGACAGCTAGAATTTTAAGTGTGTGCTTGGTGGGAGTGAAAATGGATTAGTAATAATAATAATAATAATGAGGGAAGGATAATAAGGATGTATCCAGGTATATGTTTTGTCCAAATTCACATGAGCTTTGATACCAATGTGATCCGGTACTAACTGTTCACTTGATTGATTAGGTAACATGGTAAATATATATATATATATATATATATATATATATATATATATATATATATATATATATGAACATGGGATTATTTGTGGATTACTGTTTTTATAACAATGTAACGTTCAGCTTGATGATTTAGAGAATCTTTGACTGACTGCTTGTAGCGCACCTGTCAGTATATGAAGTACCATTTAGCAGTATTGATTGGCTCGTGCCGATGCTCGGAACTTTCAAGTTTTTGTAGATTTCCTGTAGATTTTTTATTTATCACTTTTATTCATTTTTCATTGTTTATACTCCCCACAGTGAGATTTAGCTTAAGATTCAGTTTATATGCTACTTGTTCCCGAGGGGACACCCCAATGGTTGTGCATTGGTACTCCATCTTGCTGTTCGGATATTCAAATCCTATCTGAGATTGGGTGGGTTGATATTTATGAGAAGGGGATAGAGTAGCTTCTGTGGTGTAGCCTCTGTTTGACCACAAAGAGGTCTATGCTATTTTTGCTTTCTATTACGTCCTTATAGTTTCTTACTTTCTGCTGTATATTTATTTAAATATTTCAAATTTCAACATTATGTTAGAAAACCATCACTTATTTAATGATGATGCTTTCAATCTTTGCCTACTAGTAATTGGTTTTTATAGTACCTATAAGTTCTGTTATTTAATACTTGTCACATAATGAACTTGTAAAGATTATCACAAAGATCTTCTTAGATCAATATGAATCTAATTGGCTTAATGCCTTTGTTCTTTAACTGAATGGCACTCATGAATGGGTTATGATTTATATCTTGATTTCAAATTCTTTTTGGGCATAACAGTGCCATCTTTGTAAAGATATACTCTTTTAGCAGGTGTAGTTTATTATTGCTTTAAATCTAAAATTGTATAAGGTAGGGATATTCCTGTTTTTTAGGCATAGACATTATGTACTTTATCCTAATATTATTTCCTGCTCTTGTTTCAGTGTTGGTTAAAAAGACAAAAAGATGCTTTAAATCCTGATCGACGAGACTCAGGGGATCTAGTTATGTGGACTTCTGGGTTTGTCTTTGGAAAGGAAGAGGTAGAAATATTATTTTTTGTAATTAGTTCTCTCGTTGACATATAGTGCATATACCAATTTGAGATGTGTATCTCTATCAAATTATTTTATATGGATTCTAAAAGTGTTTTATTTTTTTAATTCAAGAAGATTCATTGCGACAAAGGGGAAAAACTAAGAAGAAATGGGAGGATAAGGAATCCTCAATAAAAAAGAGAGCATCAATGCAACAAAGCTGTCCAATTCATCAACATAAACCCCATTTTTACATATGCCATGTGCTTAAAGCCAGATGGGAACTGAATGCCTAATCTTATTCTAAATCAAGTTGTGTCATTGAAATCTCCCTAAAAGTACTAGTTACACTCCAACCAAATGCACCAAATGTAAACGTTTTATGTTAATGGATACACTACTACACTATGCTAAACTTCTATTGGATAAGAAACAAAGAAAAAAGAAGTGCCAATTTCTTTCCCTCTTTAGATTGTTAAAAGGGGCCAAAACTTTTGCTGCCCAAATAGGAAGGCCCAAGTTATGTATTCCCTACCTGTTATCTGTTTATGTTTAGACTTGCATGTTTTTATATATTCTAAATTACTTTGGGAGGATTTTCTGATACCAAGCCACATTATTGTTTTTATGTATTTTGAGAATCCAGATTTATGTTAGCATCATTTCATTCTAAGAACTGAATATGTATTAATTAATTGTGTTTTCAATTGCTCTTTATATTATTATAATTTATCCCTTTTTTTTTCTATCCATAAATGTATATATGTTCATGATAATTTGCTCAATATATTTTCAATATACTTTGTTTTCTGCTCATCTTTCAGTTATGTGATTGTTGCATATATTTAAGTTTCTCTATATCTTTGAGCTGTATTTTCATCTTTTCCTTACACACTTGTATTTTAGGGAATTGTTGGTCTGGAAACTGACTATGGAAATCTTCATATAAAAGTAAGTTTGTCTTTGCATATCCTCTATGTTATATATCGTTTTATTTACATTAATTGCACTCTTTTACGTTGTTTATTCTTTTATCCACTATGTCAGGCATATTTACCATTTTATCTTATTTCTGTTGTGTATTCCTTAATGTTCAATCTAGCAAATGAGGCGGCATGTCCAATGTGTTTGAAAAACTCATTAAAAAGGCATCTAACTGTTAGTAGATTGCTAATTTGCTTCTCCATCTATTTCTGTCTTTACGTGTGTAAAGGAGAGGGGCGGATAGATTCCATAAATGCCATGATAATGTGGGACTTTGCTGAGCTTTAGTTAATATATCTAGTTATTTTACTGATGGATTGGGGAAATTGAGTCACAATCCATGGCAGAAGCTTGTTGCTACACCATTATATTTTCCTGAAGATAAAGAGAACAAAGATTTTTATCTTTTATTTAGTATTTCTTTTAATTGCACCTGTTTATACTTTGTTTGAGTGCAATGTCATTACCTTTTTTTTCCATGATGATTAGTTTTCAGCTCGAATCATTAATCTATTACCTACTTTCTGGTTCTGGTTATTCGGTGAAAATTTTCAAAAGTTGCAGCTGATAGCATCAGTCAAACACATTTGAGCAAATTATATACCCTATACTTTTGTGAAACATTTGGGGTTCAAAACTGTCTCCATGGGTAGTTGTTTTGTTGCATACAAGCTTGAAATGCTCTAAGTACTAGTTACGTTGTTAATTTGACTTGCAATGTTATAATGGCTTGACTATTTACTTATATATAATTTCAATCGAATGTTCATCTAGTTGTTTTGTGGATAGATTGAAAGAAAAAGGCTGAAAAAAATGTGTTCTGAACTTTCATTGCTGCAGCTTTTGCCTGAATGTGCTCCTCATTCTGTTGCCTACATTCTTGAGCTGTTGGCATTGCCACATTGTGTTGGCTGCCAAATTCATCGTGCTGAAAGCCGAGGAAGCTTTTGGGATTCAGAAGGAAACCACATTAAAAAAGTAAGCTTCCTTACATGAGTAACTAGGCAAAATTGTGCTTGCATGATGCTACTTCTGCACATATTTGCTTCTTTTATTATTTTCAATAAATTTATATATAAGTGATTTTATTTTGTTTTTCCCACTTCTCTATAACAATATTTCTTGGAACTATTTTTGAGTCATTAGAAATGGTTACTCACTGTTTTACTGCGTTTAATGGCTGTAATGTAACTCTCAACTTTTTGTGGCCTTCTTTCGTTATTGGCCATTAAAATAAAAATAAAAGGAGGACAAAAAGGAAATCTACTAGAGGCTACACTAGTGGGCCTTCTGTGCTTGCTACTGGTTTTTCCTGTAGTTGCATCTACTTCATTTCTATCCTAACTTACTAGTTTTGAAATAGTTGAAATCTGTTCCTGGATGGTGGAAACGTATCCAGTGCTAGTTGTCTTGTTCTTAAATTTAATTTTATATAACTTACCTCCAGATTGTTGATTTATATACCCCCCCACCCCCCCACCCCCCCCATTTAATGTTCTTTGATTTTGAATGTTGATGTAGACTCCATATGGTCCTCCTTTTGCACTTATTCAAGGAACATTAGAATCCCATGGTTCTATATTCAAGGATATTCCAAAAGAATATTGTCCTTCCATAAGAAGAGGATCTATTGCATGGGTTGGTTCTGGTCCAGAATTCTTCATCAGCCTTGCTGATCACAAGGAATGGAGAAATGCTTACACCGTGTTTGGCTCTGTTCTTGCTGAAGATATGGACAGTCTAGAGAAAATTTCTCATCTTCCAACTAAATCAGAGATTTGGAACAATATTAATGTCTCTATCTTGGAAAATCCGGTTTCATTACGGTTTCGGAGAATGAACACTAGGTCTTAAATCCTTAGTCTTCTCATTCCTTTGTTCTCTCAATTTCTCTCCTTTATTAAGTGATAAAATGGTTTCAATCTATCAAGGCAATACAGGAATGGATCTCTGTCTCAAGTTACTTCTCTACATGTTTGAAGGGGTTTAAATAGTTAGCTGATTGCAAATCAATTAGAGTTGAGTATTCCACAACTAGTTTGATAGGTATGTGACTTTTGTGGATATTTCTTGATTCTGTTATTTTTTTCTTGCTCTTGTAAAGAAACTCAAGCTAGTGTAAAAGAAAGGGCAGCACCATTCTATTCTCTCATCATCCTGGAAAACAAGAGGCATAGGCCCCAAGTACATGCTCATGACATGACACCCACTTACAAGCATTAGGTAGTGGACATTTCTTGAGTTATAAAATTAATTCATTTTTTTTAATGAAAAACATGTCTCAATAAAAAATGCGTGATTCAAGTTAATTTATATAAATATTTAATAGTTCAATTTTTTTTTATCAAAATTAATTTTACTTATACTAAAGTTTCAAGTAAGTTGGAAATAAATATTAGAAAAGATCAATAGGGTCAAGAGGAAGTTGTGTGTTGTGTTCATTTATTAGCATTTCAGTCGTAATTTCCTTGTAATTAAGCGAAGTCTTTAGTAGTTTATAATTTTAGTTACTGTTTTCTACATTTCTGGAATAAACAATTTTCACTTGGTAGAAAGTTCCGCAAGTAAAATATTCGGATTGGTGGAGACATAATGTCGTTTTTGGCAATGGATATTAAAAAAGAAATTTATTTATCGAAGTATAATGGTGTAAATTTTAAAATATTAAGTGTTTGGTAATTAGTATAGTTCTTGTGGAAATTCATTTAGTGATAAATTGGTTCTTAACAAAATCATTTCAAATTTGATTATTCTATTGTGATCCTTTTTTCACTTTTTTATTATCCCTTTTTCTCTCAGTCAGTTATATATATGTTAATTGGGTAAGATACGATAATGAGATTACTCATTCACTCAATGATTAATAATATAATTTTTTAAACTTAAAATACTTCTAAAAATAAATTAGATAAGAAGTAGTTTAAAATATAATTTAATCAAACTATTTTCAATTTAAGATTAATTGCAATTAAATTATATGAATACTTTTGTTAATTAAAAAAATTGTGAATATCTTAACATGTCTGGTTTTGACTACCAAGTGTCACTGCAAGCATCATTAAATTATAGTTAGAATTATATATTTTGTTTATCAATAAAAATGATTAAAACCATATTAATATTTATGAAAAATATAGCAATATGTCTAACTTCTAGATGGTCTTCAAGGTTAAGACAGAAAAAACAAAGTTTGGTAGGATTATTAGAGGATAGATAGAAAGCTTTCCACCTTGCCTCTTAGGTGGGGTTATCGATACACCCTCTTCCATCCATGCTTATTGTCAGAATGATAGTGAACTCGATTTTTAAAGACGATTTTAGGTTTACATTTTGTAAATTAAAATAAATATTAGAAGAATTTTAATATCTTAAGTAACCTTTATCTAACGATTCAAATTTACATTAGTTAATAAGATTAAAAAGTAAAAACAGTTGGTGTCGTATTTAGTATAGATGATGGGAAGGGAAAAGAGTGGGAAAATAATTGGGTGATATGATAGCGATGAGGGAGGGGAAAGGGGAAGGTGATGAGGTGAACCAAAAATGAGGAAAAGCTTGGAAATTCGGAAACATAAAGAAGAAGGGATATATATTCATTATTCACTCACTATATTTTGATTGGATTTCTCTGTCCAATAAATACAAAGTGAGAGGTTCCCCCACCACTAATAATAGCCCCATGCCACCACCTTTTGTCCCTCTCAATCTCATATTATGCTCATGCTCATGGCCTCGGTCAAACCAAACAAACAAGCCAACGAACGGTGGCACCACAAAACACAACAACCAAAGTCCCAAAGGCAAAACCATTAAAAATGTTGTTGGCAAATGAAATGAAATGGTAACCCAATAACAAGAGAAATGAGAAGCCAATAAGCAAACAAGTGACCTACACCTACACCCACTCACTCACTCCCACCCTTGGCGGTGGGTAACTTTAATAACACTCACCCCACAAACAGCTAATTTTGATGATGATAAGGGTAAGGGAATTGGTCATGGCCAAAGTCAGAGGTGGACCTCTCTCCCCCGCGGCGCACGTTAGCCCCTCTCCCTCTCCCTCTCCTAAGCGGTGGTGGCCTCCTCATCCACCCACGTCACTAATTCAGCCGCACATCCCTCCCACCACTTTAACCTCTCCCCTCACCACCAAACCATTTCACTCTCTCCCCCTCTTCCTCCACCCTCCTATCCTACGCACCCCCCATCTCTTTTCCTTCACCCCCACCATTTCCTAAACCCTAACGTCAAAATCCAATCTTTCTCCTTCTCTTCCCCCCTTAATTTTCCATGGCCTCCCCTTCATCCCCAACGGACTCTAACCCTCCCTCCGCGGTGCCCCTTCCGCTCCCCGCGCCGCCGTCCTCCTCCTCTCGCCGCCTCCCGCCGCCCTGCTGGACCCCTGAGGAAACCGCTGCACTCATCGACGCCTACCGCGACAAATGGTACTCCCTCGGCCGCACCAACCTGAAAGCCACCCACTGGCAGGAGGTCGCCGACGCCGTCACGGCGCGGTGCCCCAACGCCTCTCCGGCTGCGAAAACCGCCGTGCAGTGCCGCCACAAGATGGAAAAGCTTCGCAAACGCTACCGCACCGAGATCCAGCGCCTTCGGTCCCTCCCCGTTGCGCGATTCAACTCTTCCTCTTCCTGGGTCCATTTCAAATCCATGGATTCAATGGAAAAAGGTCCCTCTCCACCCAAACCAGAAAACGACAACCTCAACACCCACGACAACCTCGACGACATCGACGACGATGACGACGACGATTTGTACGAAGAATTCAAGAACGCTTCCGGATCCAACACGAGGAGCCTCAACAAGCTGTACAGAAACGGAATCGGTGGCTCCGGATCAGGATCCGGGTTTCGGATTCGGATCCCAACTGGCGTTAGCGTGGCGCAACATGGATCGTCGAAATTCTTCGGGAAGGTTGTTGGGGATCAGAAAGTGAATAACCCTATGATGGGTTCGGGTTCTGGTTCTGGTTCGGTGCCACGTGGCGCGACGAATGGAACTAGGGTTGTGAAGGGGTTGGGGAAGAGAGAGAGGGACCCTGTTGGGGAAATGGTTAGTGCTATTAAGGTTTTGCGTGATGGGTTCGTTAGGATGGAGCAAATGAAGATGGAGATGGCGAGGGAGATTGAGACCATGCGCATGGAGATGGAGATGAAGCGCACTGAGATGATTCTCGAGTCCCAGCAGAGGATTGTTGAGGCTTTTGCTAAGGCTGTTTCTGAGAAGAGGAAGAAGGGTAAGACTACCCCATCACCATCACAACCCTAGATTTTTCATTAGTCCAGATCAAAATTTGCAACTTTATTCTATTCTGTGCTTGCCCTTGAGGACATAAATGATCTTCTGTAGTTCAGTTCTTGTTTTAGCTAGGTTGGTTCATATTGTTACACTCATCTACCACTCTCTCTTCTTTCTCTCTCTCTTTTATATGTGGAACACTGGATCTTGATTAGTTTTAGGATTATGTTTGGTTTATGAATTTAGCTTTAGTGTTTGATTTTTCTTAAGGTAATTGTGTTGATGCTTTGTATTTATGTCGAATTTTTAACTAAGGGAACATAATTTCATTTATCTGGAAGGGAAGGGTGTCTCTTGACGAAATTATGATTTTGTATTCGTATTTTGTGGAATTATTTAACTCGAGTTTTTAAGAGGAGAAGGTAATCGAGTCTAAAACAAGTTGAAGGGGTGTGTGAGAAACAAGTTGAGAATTCTGTGAGCCTCGATTCAATGTAAAACAAGTTGAATCTGCGACCATGACCATTTAAATGTGAGAACATTTACACTTATGCTTAAGGAGTAAAGCAATGTCAGCATTTGAAAGAAGTTGATAACGGAAATTTAAAGGAGGATCTGGGCCCTGGGATCTTTTTTTTCATGCCAACGTGAAGCAATTTGAATCTTTATTGATGTTCCGAGTTGTTTCCATGGGGCTTTACCCATGTCTATATGTGTGTGTTAAGAAAGCACTAAAAATCAACTTTTGTTTGAGAAGAGATTTTGATGTGAGAAGTATATTTTCTTCAAACTTGTAATAATTTTTTTATGGGCTGAGATATTAATACTTTGAATTAGTTTTAATTATACTTATTATATGTTTTACAGTTCGTTTACTATATTAAAAAAATAAACAAAAAAAAATTGATCAAATTAAATCAGATTGAATGATCATATTTGAATTTAGAACTCAACAAAATAAAAGAAGAATTATATTAGACAATGATTAAACTCTATTTTAAACTTTAAGATATTTTAGTTCTTAAAATTTTTAAGATGTTATGTTAGTCTTTGATTTTTAATTTTGTTTATTAATTTAATTAGATACTGTCAATATATAGTAATAAAATGTTAATGCATCACATCAAGCGATATATATAATTAATTATGTAACAAAAAATAATGTAATATATATTTTTATTTTATTTTATTTTTTAATATTGTCATTGATAGTCGGGGAAAATCATCGGAAACGGTCACTTGTGAACACGAATTCTTCCAATATAAATTAAAATTTAAGGGCTTTTGATCGATAGTTGATATTATATTTCATTAATGTTGAATATAAAAAGTGAGATTTTTCTTTTCTATGTATATGGTTAGTCATTAAAAATTGTTAGAAATCTTCGTTCTTAACACTGTAGAAGGTTGAGAAATCATTGAATGGTAGATATGATCTTTTGTGTTTAAAAGATTTGGGCAATTGTTCTCTTAAAAACTAATTTAATTGAATTTATTCACTTTTGATAAAATTTCTCAAACAATTTTAAAGGAAAAATTACAATAAAAAAGCTTAACATAAAAATTACAAAATATAAATTTGACATGATTTTAGTTTAAAAACACGTGTTGATAGCCATATCGTATCTAAACACCAGTATCACCTTTAAAATCACATATAGTGAGTTGCACTTGTATAACACAACCAAATACATTATAAGTTTAAAGTGCTTCTGCCTATCATCTGTACAAATTCTCAGTGAATCATTCAACATGTTTAACAACATGATTGCTCACCTGTACGATGTTTGAAAACGCATTAAAAATTTTGTAAACGTGAATTCAACGCTAGCAAACGTTGCAATACACGTTGATCTACAAATAATCAACTATTCAAGTGCGAATTATGCAGAAATACATGTAACAAATATGTTCAGCAGCACGCAAACGCGAGTTGGGCTGGTCTAAATTCTAATGTACAACAAACCAAGTAGCACAATATCAAGGGTGTTAAAATGTGGGAACACAAGAAAGCCAGTTGCTCAAATCCCAATCAAAATCTCAGACAAATCCTTCACACTACCCTCTATATTTTTCAGACTTGGTCTCCCCTTTAATATCCACAGCCAGAATAGGTAAAGGCCAAGCAATATGACTAAAAGAAGAATGAGGGAAAGAGCAAAAGCCCCTAAGATGGTAAAGACGATTAGTGGAAGGTGGAATGGGCCAAAAGCCACATTCACCCCTGATGACACCTTGCCCACAATTTCAGAAAAATTATGGAAGGGAACAAAAATCAACAGTAGCATGATAAAAATCTGAAGTATGAGTTGTATTGGACAAGCTAGCAACAATGTCACTGGATAGGACAGTATGAACATGGTGATAGGTTTCATCACAGGAAGCAACTTTGCAAATGCTTCACTGAAGCTCAACAGAGGTAGGGAGTGTGGTGCATTACTATTTGTGGAGTTTCCAAATTGGGAATAAAATTGAGTGGTGATGCTATTTGCTTGATATATTAAGAATCCACAAGAGAGCATCAACAAAGCCCAATGAAACCGAGGAGAAAGACCAATCACACTCAATAGTAGGCAGACCAGAAATGCCTTGAAGGTTGAAGCATTTTTTGGATGGTTGTGTGTCAATGAAAGCACCCAATACAACAGGGAGTAATTTTTGTATTCCTGACAAAAGCAAGATAAGCTTTAGTTACACAAATGCTTAAGACATAAATTTAATTATCAACTAAATTGAAATAAAATAAAATAAAAACTTATTTATACGAGTCATAAATTTATTTTGGTAAGCTCTTTCAAATGTTTACTCAACGAAATCGATGAGAAATTAAGAGAGGAAGATGACTCCGCACCTGTTCTGGTGCAGAAGAAAACCAATCCCTGTCAAATTCCAAAACTGGCCGACGGTTTATCTGCTTGCTTTGTTCCAACTAGACGGTGCAAATTACATTGTTGTTACGTTCTAGATGGTGCAATGATTGTCATTAGTTTCTTTTGTAAGAAAGGGATGAGAAGAGTTACTTACTAAAAAACGCTTGAAAGACTTCAAACCTTCATCATCAATATCTGCCTCTATACGATCCAATTGTCCACTTTGCTGTTGCCACCCTCCAAAATGTTAGCAGCAATTTTTGGTATGTTAGAGAAAGATGAGTTTAGCACAAGAAATTCTACTTACTAGCAATAAGATGACACAACACAAGGCTACACTAGACAATAAGATGAGAAAAAAGAAAAAGCCTATCATAGCAATTGATAATAAAGACTAGGACACATCAAATGATGATGATTTCCTTTGAGAATTAGTGGCAATGCAATCAAAAGGTGAAACCGATCAAATTATGACAATAATGATAAATTAACAAGCGAACGCAGAGATACAAGATCACGAATGCTTAGAATTGCAGGCAACATCAACATAAAATTAATAGAGGAGAATAAGAATAGCTATTACGTTTAAGTCGCTCTCTTGTTGAGGGAAACCTTCCATTTTGATGATTTTGTTATAGAGAATCGAGTGATCTTCTCCAACTGCAACACTGAATAGATCCTGATCCTAATCACTCACAAAACTAAAAGCACTGCAGAAGCAGAACGAGGACTCTACTAAGTGGAGATAACTTCGAAAGCGCGTTTCAGTAGGTCCCTTCACAGATTCCCAAAAGCGTGTGATTTGTTTAGTAAAATTAGCTTGTTCGAATAAAATTATACCTATTTTTCAAACTCTTCTAGAAATCGCCTATATATTTGATGATCTTATTTCAAACTCTTCCAGAAACCAGAAAGTGGAGTGGGTGAAAACAAGTTTGATTTCACACTACAACTCCCCAACTCTTCCCATAATCAATAAAATAAGCATTCATCTTTTGTCTTTAAGCACGCGTTAAGTTGAAATTTCTATCAAGTGTGTGGGCCAACGCGTCTCTCTTTGAATTGATTGCCAGGACCTCAAAAAGGTAAAGTTATTCTATGCAATTGGTTTCACATATCTGTTGGTTTGGAAACACAAGATCTTGCAGTGTTTGTGTTGGTTCATAACATCCCTTCTGTTTTGTTGATCCAGCTCAGACATTTCACAAATTTCGTCTCTTACACTGCTTCCATGGAGCTGGTGCGTTTTGTTATTCACATCCATTCTTACTTATCATTTCTTCTTCTGTTGTTCACTTTTTTCACGAAATCTTTTGTTTGCTTACAAATTGTTAGCTTCCTGGCTCTTATTCACCGACTTACTTTAGTTTTTAATTATCGTGTGTATTGCTAACTTCTACTTGTACAAATTAATGAAACTTAGATGAGAATTATCATTCCACTTACCGGAAATCACATATGAATGTTTCAAAATAACAATCTGAGATAGCATAATCTAGCTTATTACTAGGATGTTTATATTTGATTAAAGATGAGGTTTTTTTGTTTATCGTTATCATTCATTGATGAAGAAAGTACTGTGCCTCAGATGATTCCATTAAAATGCAGGGAATGGCTACGAAAGTACCAGGGGGCAAGCTTTATGATGATAGTGCGGACATATTGGAACAGCAGAGTGAATGTGAAATGCAGTTTGATTTAGATAGAGAAGATAAATTGAAGCGGGATAGCAACATGAGTTCAAATCTGCAATACAACTCCACCGGTTGCAATCAGCAAGAACTCCACTGGTTGCAAGAAGTTAAGAAAACCTTAGAAAGTGCTTCATCTTTTTTAATGGTAACCAGTTCATTTTATTGGATATTAACCGACATGTTGAGCCAGTCATCAAGAGTCAAGCCTCAGCAAGAACGTGGCCCAGTTTTCGAATGGGTGTTCCCTTTGTTGGAGTTGCTGGGTTTTGTGGTGTTTGTTTTGGTGATTGGAACAATGATTCTGGTGGGTGCACAAATTAGTCGGTTGCAGAGTGCTATGCTTCTGTCATGGGCCATTCTGATGCTTGTGAGATCCGTGGACTCACTCAGTGCACTATGCGTTTCAATAATGGGAATAATTCTGATTGGGTGGCATTTGGTCATAGAAAAGCAACCACCAAATGAATGGGAAATGAGCATAAAAGGTGACCTCCGAGGCCAAAACTAATACATGTTATGTACACAAATTTCTCGAGTGTGTTTCGTGTAATAGATATAGTTTGTGTTTGTAATTAGGGGTACCACCTTACCTTCTTCTGTTCATGCCTGTGATGTATTGCGGTTGGGTTATTAATATCCTTCCCTGTCAACACTTGTATTGGGTGCCACATTCAGTTCTTGCCCCTCTGTTTTCGACACTTTCCATCGCTAAGTTTTAATTCGACAACTTTATATAATTCTATCCATTAGTGTATATCTTTTATATTAATAAATATGTCACTGATGGAAAGATAAACATATTGGTTGAACAGAAGAATGAATGTGAAATGGGTTTTGATAGAGAAGACAAGGTGAAATGAGATACCAACATGAGTTCAAAACTGCAAGACAACTCCACTGTTTGCAATCAGCAAGAACTTGAGAAAACCATAGAAAGTGTTCCATCTCAGAAGAATATGTGGTTTGGTCGCTCATGTTGCGGTATGCGTTCAAATTCTACAATTTATAAGAAAAATATGTGTAACTATGTGAGTGGCGGGACTATATGCTTCTATATCATAGAATAATTTTTTTTGTTGAACTATGACATGTGAAGAGATTAAAATTAAGAAAATGTTAACATATTTATGATTTTAAGTATTTAAAAATTAAAGTAAATTTTTATTCAAATTAAAATAATATTTTTCATTAATTATTTGTTTAAAGAGATTTTTTTGTTTTCTTCATTTTACTTAATATTTAATTTTTTTAATTAAAATAAGTACAATAGAATATTTGCACGTCATTAAAATAATTTTGATTAATTAAACACTTTTTTGAGATCTTAAAAGTTAAAGACTTAATCACATTTTTTAAATATAATTTATCATTTGTGAAATAATTTTTTATTACACACACTTTGCATGCATTTTCAAATACCTGCATAAGATGTTTGTTAGTAATTTTTTTTCCTCCAACAGAAAGAGTTGGAGAAGAGAAAATAGGTACATAGTTTTGTACATGACAAAGTTTAAACCATGTTGTTTACGCTACATAACTTTTTAGCCTATCATTAAACATCTCTTTCGTGAATATGATAAGATAAAAAATAATAAATATAAAAACTAATCAATGATAAAATATAATAAAGGAAGAATAAATTTTTATTATATTTAATATTTTATTTATATTAGAATAATAAAATATTATGTCATTCCATTTCATGTTTGACTTAAAAAATAGATAAATCATATTTAAATAATTTTAATTAAAATTAATATAATTTTTAAATAAACTATAAATTTTTTAATTTTCAATTAAAAATGTATATTAAAAATTTAAAAATTATTTTTGTGTACATATAATATTAAAATTTTGATATTAAATTATAATAATTTGTTTCAATTTTTTACAATTGAATTAATTTTTGGATATAATTAAAACAAAAATAAATTTTTAAAATTTTTATTTTATAAAATAGTAAACTATTTTTTGAATTTTTTAAAATATTTTTTACTAAAAAATGTTCATGTAATATTTTTTTATAAAAAATATTAAAATTATATTTTTATAAAGTATTAAAGACCGATATAAAGTATGAGTACGAGAGTAACCAAATATATATATATATATATATATATATATATATATATATATATATATATTATCATATTATGATTCTTAATTCATTGCCCTACTTGAGATAAGAATAGAACAAAGTAATTTAATAAAACAAATTATCATATTTTGATATTCAATAAATAATAAAAATAAAATAAGATAAAATAAACTATCAAGTGAGCTCTCAAGACGTATATATTACTTTTGTTTTTGATAACTGGGTAGAAACTTGAGGGATGTTTGGACCTTTGTTTCTAATGGACCTTAGATCAAACTGCATGATTATTTCTGAAAAAAGAACTAAGAAAAGGATTTTATGGATAATTATTCTCCCCAAATTTAATCTGATTAAATCCACAAACACCTTTTTAGTGAATTTCTACTTTCTCTTATACCCAATTTTCACGATAAGAAGTTGAACTTGGGAAACACCAAACAGAATTGATGATCATAAAATCACCTTTGGGCTTAAACTTAGCATCAAGTAAACGTGAGTTGACTTCTATAACACACAACCAAACAAATTATAAGCTCAACATGCTTCTACCTAACCAAGTACGGGAGCAAAATCACGGATGGCATTCACCATGAAACATCACAATTAAGGATTATGAATCATGTTTGAACATAACTTTTAAACAAACACAAGCTATAAATGATTTTGACATCATGTGAGCTTGAGTTGGGCTTGAATAATGCACAACCAAACATGAAGGATTTTAATTACCTTTGCCTGATCCCAATCCTGCTCCAATGTGCCAACACAAAGCTAATTGTTCAAGCCTCAATCACAATTTGTGACAAATCATGCACATTAACCTCGAGGTCTTTTAGACTTGGTTTACCTTTTAAAATAAATCGCCATATGAGGTAAAGCCCACTCAAAATCACAAACAATGCAATGAGGAAAAGAGAAAGGGCCCCTAAGATTTGAAACCAGATGAGTTGCATCTTGAATTGCCCCCAAGCTACCTCAAACCCTGACACCTTGCTCACCACTTCAGGGAAATAAAATAGGGGAACAAAAATCAACTTTAGCAGAATGAAAATTTGCAATACAAGTTGCACCGGACAAGCCAGCAACAAAATCACCGGATAGGACAACATGAACAGTGCCATATGTACCATCACTTGACCAAATTTGTCAAATGTTTCTCCAATGCTTAGCAGAGACTGTGGTGTGTTAGTGAACTCTCCCAATCGGTAACCAAATTGAGTGGTCAGGTAATGTGCTTCATATACTTGGAAACTACAACATGTTATCAGCAAAATCCAGTGAATCCGAACAGAAATAACAATCACACTCTACAGTAGAGAACGTCGAAATGCCTTGAAGCTCAAAGCATTTCTTGGAGTGAGTCAAATTCCGTTTTCCCTTCTTTGCCTGACAAAGACTAGAAACTCAATCAATCACAATTTCAAGATAAATGCAACTCAATGTTGCAGAGTATTCCTCTTAAATGATTTTGAAATAATGGATTTTAATATAAAATGAATTGCTTTACCTGTAAGCTGTTCGGCAGATCCTGGGGAAAAAACCAAGTATTAAGAGAAAAATTACATTACAGAAATTTGTAATTAAGTTATAATTAAATGAATGTAACTGAGTTTTTAAATAAGTTAAATGTTACACTTTTCAAAAAATTTAAATTGTATAAATCAATTTTAGCTTAAAAAAATGTGACACTTATAAAATCCAACGTATTAAACTTCTTAATTTTTGTCGCTTGTAAGTGCATGTAGTGTGTAGTTTATCCAAAGTCGAGCCTGAGGCCAAGTATAAGACGAAAATGGTGGGAAAATAAAAAAGGAAGATGGCTCATCCTCTTCTCATCATGTGTGGACATTTTGGAAAATCAATACCATTGAGCTGCAGAATTTAAAGCATGGTGCAAGTTATATTGCTACTACGTTCTTAGATCTTGCACAGTTGCCTTAAGCTTTAGAAGAATTTTGTTTATTTCTTAAACAAAGGGATAAGAGTTACTTACAGGAAGTTCATTATCTCGCTGGAGCCCCATGGCACCAACTTCTGCCTGTTTCCAAATATAGAAAACGTTAAGTTGAAGCATGTAAAATTGTTAGGATATATTCATTTTATTGTCTGACATTCTTTTTCATAACTATGACTTATATTTTAACTTTTTTTAGTATATATCTTTTTATTATTATTATTAACAAGGATTTTAATGTGATCCAATTCAAAATTGGGAGAGTCTAGGCTTTAAGGCCGAGTGATTTGTGTTATTACACTGATAGTTCAATGGTGAGAATTAGTAGGACATAAGCATTATATACTGTGTTCAAATCCTGTTTCTAGCAAATTTTCACATCCCCTCTTCCAATTTTCCCTCTCCAATGGTTAACAAAAGGTTAGGAAATTTGTTCATTTAAAATGTAGAATTTAAACTCACAACTTTTTTACCTATATACCATTTAATTGACTCACCTGCACCGTTTTTGTGCGCCGACGCATCTGCTTAGGAGCATGGTTTTCATCCCTGATCGAATCACTGTCATTTTCGGCCTCTGTATCATTATGAGGCTGTTCATCCGATTGTTCAAGCAGCTGTTGCCAAACCTCCAAAATGTTAGCACTACAATACCATCATCAATGGCTAATATAATAATTAAAAAAATATAATGATGATTCAATATATCATCATTTCATACAAGTTTACAAAGGAAAAAAGGCTATGTTATGTAGTGACTATCAGCGTAATCTGTCCCAAGGTTAGGTTGACAGCAACGGTTGACATCTTAGAGAAAGGTAAGTTTAACACAAGGTTTTTGAAATAACAAAAAGTAATGGCTAATATATATTGATGAACCTTAGTTGATATATTTTTACACTTGATGAAATCAGAAAATTGGTTTATAGATTCATCAAAGATACAACGCTAAACTTACACAAAATATTTTGGAGTCCAATGAATATTCATAGATTGTATCAAAATATAAAAAGTTAATTTGTGTCCAATAACTTTTTTAGAAACTTTATCATTTAACTAGAGATAATCAGCAAATCCATAGAAAAACAATAATTTGAGAAAAGAAAAGCATTTACAACAGCATTATTTATTAAGGAACAACGACATCATGATGGCAATAACATAGGAAGAAAACACCGAATTTTGCAATTATTTTCGACATAATTAGGTTAAGCAACTGAATTTCCACTTATTTTATGCAGATATGCAGTTCAATGAAGAGAAGGAAATTTACAATGATGAAGATTTTCTTTTAGAATTAGAGGCCGTTAAAAGGTGAAACAGCTGAAAATAAAATGTCACTGGATTTATTAGTCTTTGAAATTATGTTTCTTTTCTTACAGGCAATACGGGGAAGATGTTGGTATCTATTGAAAATGCCAAGAAGGATGAACAAGTCAATGCACAGATCCAATATCGGAAGAAGAAACAGTCATTCACAGACAAAAACTAAAACAGATTCAGAATCAGTCATAAGTTTTTCATCACTTACCTGATCAGTTGCCTCCATCTGCAATCATTCATAGACAAATATAGTATGTATTAGTTTTGGATGAAATATTATTTTACCCAATTTGGATTGCAGACAACATCAATATCAGGAGAATAAGACTAGTTACAGTTTCGTTTATGTTGCTCTTTTCTTCATTGAGCTCTGCCATTTTGATCTTTGCTGTGATAGAGATTCTCTCCTATACTCTCTCTAGCCTCTATGGGCCCTCTGCAACCTGTTTAATAGATCCAAATCAGCGATTGGCGAAAAGCACAAACAAAGACACTCAAGTAACAGAGTATGACTATGTCTAAACACTATTGGTATACCAAAAATGATACAAGCTTCAGAAATTTATGCCTTTGTTTTGTTTATTTGAAGTCTTCGATTACTGAAAGCTACATTAATAAAATAAAATACATTTACGCGTCTCTTACTT